CTGGGTCTTTCCCCATCCCGCAGCTTCTGCTGGGGAGCGGGTAGGGGCGCTGGGGTTTCCCCTGCTGCCCAGGCTTCCCCTGCTGCCCTGCACCCGGGTTGTCCCGCCTGCCTGGCGCTTCTGGGAACTGGGGGCAGGTGCTGCTGCTGGGGCTTCCCCTGCTGCCCCATGCTGAGGTCAGGCGGAGAGGGGAGGGGGTGCTGGAGACTGCCCTGGTAGTCTGGCAGTTCTGGGGACCGGGGGGAGGGAGCTGCCACTGGGGCTTTCCCTGCCGCCCCACAGTGGATATACACTGCGGGGGTGGGGGGGAGGAGGGAGAGCCCATTTTCCCAGTTCCCACCAATTGGCCGGGGTCCCTGGGCATGGACACTGTGGGCCCAGTGGATAATCCACCACTGGGGCGGGGCCTTGGGGGGCAGAGGCAGCAGAAGGGCAGGGACTCAGGGGAGGGGAGGGGAGGTGCAGTGGAGGTGGGGCCTCAGGGGAAGGGACAGAGTGGCGGGGCAGGGCCATGGTTTTGGGTATCGGTGGCCCACCACTTTTAGGGAGCTGCTGGAACTCCTAGGCAGAAATGACTCTTAGGTCATGGCCAATGGCCAAAACACCAGTATCAAACTCATGGGGGAGACTGTGATAATCAGGGTGCAGATGTAATGCTGACAGACCCTGATCATCGGAGGGCAGGAGAAAACCTGGGGCCTCTGGAGCTTAGTGCATGAGCATCTACTGCATGAGCTAAAAGCCATATGGCCCTTAGCTAAGGCTGTAGGGCAGACTTGTTAATTTCTCTCTCTAAGTGGTCTCAGTGCCACTACAGAACACCACACCCAGGAGGTGTGTGGGTTACACAGACACCCCAAGGAGAGAAGAGAAGGGTTAACTTCTGCCACAATAAGAAGTTCAACCAATTGATTGCATATACTGTTAGAGAATACCAAGTGAGATCTTTTATGAAAGCTTGTAATGCACTGAACTGAACAGTCATTTTGAGATATGTTTATGGCTTATGGTTATGACTGTATGTATGTATAGCAAATTGTAACTCACCTCAGCACCACCTCACAACAGCATGGTGACGCAATCAGGTGGGGGTGGGCCACCTCTGAACCAGATAAGACTGCCTTCAAGCATCAAGCAAACAAAGACAGGCGAGCATTTTCTCCTCTCTGAATACATATAGTGACTGAAGAACACCCCCCCGCCCCCCGCCTCAAACCCTTTTAAAATGGAAGGAGTTTAAGTGAAACTGAGGGACAGGCTGTAGGCTGGAAGCTGTCCATGAAACACTGGCACACAGGCAGTATGCTGGGAAACAGTTCAAAGGCAACTTGTATTAGAAAAGGGATTTTATTTAATGTAGAAGTTAAAGCCTGAGGTTATGTCTGTGTTTTTTTACTGGGTAACTCATATGTTTGCTCTCTCTTACTATTTCATCTTTGAATCTGTGGTTTTGCTATTAAATAAATCTTTTGTTTATTTTTACCCTAAGCAGGTCTCTGTGGTGCAAACTGTGTGGAGTGTGTGCACCAAAGAGACCTGATAACGTAGGGGGTGGGAGGTGAGAGGCTGGATTCAGACCTTTGGGAGTGCTGAATCAGAGGGGAAAAGTTAGAGTTTCTGGTACTTACGAACTCAAGAAAGATGGATTTGGGGAGACTTTGGCAGGGCTGTTGAGTCACCCTGAAAGGAGAAACTAGGATGCTGGACACCAGAGTGACTTTGCGCTTGTGAACAGTTACTGGTGTTAGGGATCTGAGCTGCAGTTGCACAGGGACCCCCAGGCTGCAGGGCAGATGGTGACAGATCCCCTTAGTAGGGTTGCCAATTTTGGTTGGACATATTCCTGGAGGATTTTTCACATGACATGATCTTTAATTAAAGATTAATCCTTAATTCCTGGAGACTCCAGGACAATCCTGGAGGCTTGGCAACCTTATTCCTTACTGGTCTGGGTGTGCTCCAAAACAGCATAAGGGGCGTAACTGAAAGGCCATTTGCTTAGCTTGCTACAATACAGAACAAAACTTAAGCAATTCATAGCAGTTGAGAAGCAATAGTGAAGAAAGGTACAGTACATAAAAGCCTTGCCTGTTAAATATACATTTTAATACTCAGTAGATAATTGTAATGTTAGAGTTGCTTTATAACATAGGGCAGGACTGAATTCCAAATGAGCTTTAAATCCAAACTTCAGCCAGCCTCTGAAATAGGTCTGAAATATCGCTGTGGTATATTAGCACGTGGAGCATTGGCCTTTTGACACTTACAAATCTAATATTGCTCTTAATTCCTTTGGTAAGATGAGTTTGTTCTACCAGCCTTCCTCCCCTCACCCCCCCCAAATTCCAACTCGGAGCTTTGCGAGCTTTCATTATATTTGGATTTCACAGCTGCAGCATCAGTGGCTTCGTTCTGTCTTTTAAAGATATTCAGCTCCCTCAGTATGGGGCCACTAATGAATGAGCACCATCACCTCCAGAACAACAGACAGAAATAAAAGCTGTGCCTTAAAAATGGAAATAGTATGAGCTGTGGCTAACCTCTGTCCTGAATGGAACAGAGGGAAGCAGGCATGCACTCGTTTCACTAGCCACGGCTTCCCCATCTGGGCGAAGCTGCAGTCTGAGCAAAGCCTTGAGAAAGTGTGAATGATTGCCACCGTGTGCACTTCCTTAGCAGAAATGAACATCTGCTATATCATCATCTTGTGCTCCCAGCACATACACTCCCAGATATCACCTTTCCTTTCGTCAGCTGCTTGAGTGCGGCGGAGCATTCTAGCTTACGGTCGTTCAGAATGTGCCAGTACTGCTTCTGAATGTACCTACACGTAGAATACTGTCCACTGATTTCAATGGCCTGGAAATAACAGCTACAGCATGGCAGCTGCAGCACTGAGCCACAAGAACGTGAAACAATGATATGTGTTGCCTGTCACAAGCTGCTGAGCTAACGTCTGTCCTCAGATGCTTGGGGCCAACTCCCACTGAAGGCGGTGGGACTCATTTTAGTGCACGTGAGTGCAGAAGAAGGTTAACAAAAAAAGTTTAAATGAGCAGCATGGTCTTCTTTCCTGTTTCTGCGCTTCAGGCTCCCTTCTACTCATCACTAGCGGCCTGACCTTAAGTCAGGTGACTGGCCTGCAGTCGTTACTAGGGTTGAGCATTGAATACTCAAGGCTCCGCCCTCCATCACTGGGGATGAGCATTTATCGTTTCAGGCAGTACAGCATAGTGTGTCAAATTTGGTAAATTTTATTTAAGCGGGTGCTATACACAGGGAAATGCATTTTTATTGTCTTCTCTTTGTTGCGCTTGTAGATCTGAGGCTGCCACCCCTGAGACAGGAACATAACACTCTCTGCATTTGCCGTGATTTATGGCATTACTGTGTTGCCATTATGTAATACACTGGCTTAGTATATGTGATTGAGTTGCCTCTCTTGAGGTTGGTTCCACGGATTATAAAAACACTTTGTGTCTTACTTCCAGGGGAAGGAGTTCTCTTTTAGCTGACATAACAGGGGCTTATATTTTTTTCATACTGCAGGTACCAGCTTGATCGGTGCTGATTACTGTGGTATCTATATGTAGAGGGCATGGTCTATTAAAAGTAGAATTCATTCATAATGGTAAAGAGTATTTGGTTTTTATCATAGTGCCTTTTGAGCATTAAAGCTCCTGTTAACATTTCTCTTCACTATCTTTGTTTTATTTGAACTGGTTTACTGGAGGAAAGTTGCCCTTTCATAAACAGGTGGCTTAAGAGGCAAGAAGATTTGGAATTAGAGACAGTGGGCCCAGTAGTGAGTGCATTAAAGTCAGGGCAAAGCTTCCACAAATGATAGTGGGAAGTGGCCCAGGCCCAATGGAGGAGCTGACAGTAGCTCAGCCTGTACTTTGTCATTTTAATGGGAGGAGGAGTGTAAGACGCTTCATCTCCCCTTTTGCAGTGTAACTCTTCTGAGGAACTAGCAAGTAACATGGATTTGGATTGAGGCAGAGGTTCTTCAAGGAAGGATAGGGAACATCATGTGAACACTGTATTACAAATAAAAATGTAGCAGGAGAACTGATGTTATTGTTCCTAGACTGAATGGAGTTGATGGGAAAATTGAGGATCAACATTAAATAGTTGTCTGAACAAATTCTTTGGTTACTACTACCCACATGCCAGACAGAATCTGGCCCTTACTGTTGGACTTTATTTTAGATATGTAATGTATGGGTATTGTTGTCATTTGTATCATATTTTTCTGTCATTCTTTTGGTAATTTTACTCAGTGTTTTACCTAAAGTTTTTATAAGCATGAATTTCATGGATGTACAATAGAAAATGATCAACAAAAAAAGTTCCTTTTTACTCTGGTAGCCTATGAACTAACATCACACCCTTTTAAATTTAAATCAAAATGGGGACTGTCACACACATTGGCTCTCTGAGAAGCTACTGTGGGAGCCTAGCAGTTCAAGTCATTCTTTTGTACTGTATACTAAGGCTAATGCTCTTGCTGGGAGTGAAATATTTTTTTACAGAACAGTTTTGAAGCACAGGATTTTCCTTTTTATTAGAAAACATAAATGAAAACAAGTGTGTACTTTATCTTTAGTATGCTAAATTATGAAATCCTTTATATAATAGAATGTTAGAGATAGCCATAATCATGTTTTCCTCTCATCACCCAGTGAACATAATTTTAAGAGAGGACCAGTGTAATTATATTCCAGATAAAAGGATCCAGAATATTATACTTGGCTTGATTGCTTTGTTGATAAGAAGGAGGGGGGAAAAAGAGATCTGGATACTTATTTAATGAACAGCATATTTATTAAGCAGCGCGTATTGTACATAATGCATTTGACTTTGTACGTAATGCATTAGGCTTACCTATTTTTAAAGCATTTTTTTTTAATATTTTACTGCAGCTATTGCATTCCCCCTGCAGCTGTCCAGCTATTCAATCATTTGGGTGAGTACGTCTATAGCACATTGCTAAAGCATTAAGATGAACTACAATCGTCAGTGCAGGAACAGTCAATGTCAGCATCCACAGACTCCACGATGTCCTCGGCTGCATATTTCCTGTCACTGCCCCTATGCCAGTCAGACAGGCTCACAGCAGAATCTGTCAGAAGAGCAAAGCCACATTAACTAACATCAAGCAAATTAACACTTGAAAACATTCCAAGGCAATATTATTTTGATGGTTGCCAACTCTTTCACCAGACAAAGAATATGGGTCCAATCCTGCCTCTACCATTGACCTCTGACTGACCTATTGACTTGGAGCAGGATTTTCATCCGTGGTGTAATTACTATAATACTTCCCTAAAACAAAATGAATTGAATTTCATGATGCACAAATATAGAAAGCAGGGCTTGTAGAAGTGCTGGATGTGACCGCCCTTTAAATAAGAGCACTCTGTAGAAAAGCACATCAGCCATCTCTTTTCATGTTATCACTGCCTATGAGGGTGGAGTGGGTGGGTGGGTATTTCATCTCTCTGTTTAAGTTCATTCTGAAGGATAAGCCCTTTGGAGGATTTTCAGAGGTTCATAAACTTCTAATTAAAGTTTTCCATATATTCTCAAAACTGGCAGTGCAGTGTCAGTTTCAGTATTAACCTTACCAGGTTGCTTTATCAACAGCAGCTTTAATATATCATAAACCCCTACTGCTGAAATAATCTAAATGAAATAATAATATTCATCCTCCCAATAAACATTCTGAGCTGGTTGGAGGTTTAACATTGCATATGGAAGAATATTAGAACCCGCATTTAGATTGTTTGCCTAAGTAGAATGTGCCAAGCTTCCATAATTTTATCTCTAGTTGTTTTGTCAGACATATGGGCAATATATTTACAACATATTATATTATACCAAGAGAAAATCCGGAAATGTTTGTTTGGGTTTTGGCTGTATCAGTCATCCATACTCAATGAATGAAATGTTAATGCACAATTTGGTGGAATTACACCTCTCTGACCAACTTGACACACAGGTTTTGTATAACGAACTACAAAACATATTATCCTAGCATGATGCTTGAGCTATTTGTTATTAAATATTTAATATTTTAAAGCTAGAAAATGAGAAACCCTAAAGAGTCTAGTTTTGATTTGCTTTTGCTTAGCTTTTTCTCATGCCTTGGTCTTCTAAATTTTTGCATACTAAAGGCCCAATCCTGCAAGCTTTAGCCTCATAAGTAGTCCTTACTTCTGCAAACAGTCTCAGTGGCATCAATGGAACTGTGTACCTGAGTAACTACGATGCAAGTGAGTAAGAATTTGCAGGATCTGGTCCATCAGGCAAATTGCCTGAAGTATAAACTGCAGGATTTGGCCTCAGATTTCTAGGGCAATAGGGGGAAATTTTCCCTTCAGTTCTGCACAGCAGTAACTTCCCTGATATTATGCTCATCCTATACGTGTTGGCCTCCCATTGCTGTCAGTAATGTGGGCTCCCACTTTGTGAGGAGCAGAGTATCAGGGCTGAGTTCTCCCTGTGTGGATCTGAGAGAAGAATTTTGCCCACATATATAGGAGTTCATTTTATGAACCTGGGAGAGAGAATTATGTTACCAGCTCTGCTTCTGCTGCTACTTATCTGGTCCATCAAACAAAAATGAAAAAAGGACATCTCTTAAAGAGTTCCATTGTAATGCTGTTGATTCCCAGCCTGAGGAAAAGCAATCATGTTACTGAAGAACACCAATGGCATCCTCTACCTTCTTCCTCCTCAGGAAAATAATAATAATAATAAGAAAACCTTGATAAAAGAGCAAGAAGCAGAGGTGGTAGTGGGCTCTGTCTGAGATTCAGTAAACGAACCAGAGAAACCTGCAGCTGCTGTGCAAGCAGCAGTGACTATGATGACTGATTTGGCTGATTTTCTTCTTTTCATTTTGTGTGAGAATGAGACAAATTTATTATATTCTAGTAATCGAAGCAGTGAGTGGCCTAGGGTGATGATACTTCACAGATATGGAACATGGACACAAAAGAAAATCTGTGAAACATGGATATGACAAGATTTTAGAGATAGCTTGGCATTGAGGGTGTCTTTTCTTTTCTTAAAAGGATTCATCTAGTCACATCACATGGTGCTGTCAGTATGCTATTAGTAATCTCACTGTGTTACTTTTCTTATTGGTTGTGTGAGCTGGGTTGCCTACTGAAGAGATATATACCCAATGTTTTCGTGAACTGCTTTGGCACATTGGGAATTCTAATAATATGAGCAAAGCATGATGATCTTTAGGAACACTGTTTAAAATCAGTCAGAGAACACTAGATTCTTCTTCTGGTATAAACTGAGTTCTATGGAGCTATGTCAGTTTACACCAGCTGAGGCGCTGGCCCAGAAGGTTAACATGCGGAACAGAGCTGTACTGGTAGGTGGCAGAACTGTTTACGGCTATGGTACATGTGAGTTGTGTGATCAATTCCTGTATATTTAAGGATTTGGAAGTAATGCACCAGAAAAGAAGAAACTCTGTAGACATGAGGCCTGATTCTCCTCTCACACTTGTGTGAATTTAGAGTATCTACTTTGTAGACAACGGAGTTGCACTAGTGTCAAGCTGATATAAGTGAAAACAGAATCAGGTCCATGCTTTTTAAAAATCTGATATGTCTGAGAGTTAAATACCTTCAAAACCAAGCTGTTTTCTGAAATAATCAGGAGAACACCCTAGCAATATGTTTTTTGCTGATGCATTGCACATGGGCAGAGCATGGCAGCCTAATCATACTGCAGTCATGTCACATTACGTGACTGACTTTCAGTTGCTTTTCTCATCTTCGTCTACATGAAATAGCAGATTGCAATGTGACTAAAAGGACTTTTTGTTGCTTATCACAACTCAATGAAACATCTGGAAGGCATGACACATTTTTATTGGTCACTGCTGCCCCTTTTACCATCCCTAAGATTTTTTTCAGACAATACCATCTGCCAAATAATCCACATTGGCTTCTAGCTACCCATTATTGTAATTGTTTATGTAAAATATTAATGGGGTTAGGAAATAACAGCTCTGAAAGTCAGGTGGGCTAGTAGGGGGTCTGTGTGGTGCTATGCTATATCTTGACTAACTGATCTGACAGAGCTCCTCTGGTATGTGACAAAGAAAGTAAAACAAAAAAAATCCTACCTTTTGGGAAACAGGAGAAGCCAACTTTAACTGAGGTTTTCTCAGTTGGAGTACAGCCTTTCATACACTGCAGTATCCTGTCAACAGAGTAACATGTAGATTCCCTTCCATCAATAACAGGATGTCCCTTCAGTTTCACATAGCGGCGTTGCAGTTTACACCCTAAGAGGAAAAAGAAAAAGTAGTTAAACCCTAAGGAATACAAGTGCTCTAATCTTTCCTTAGAATAAGAAAAGTCCATATTTTCTCCTCAGCTTTTAAGTACAACTCCCCAATGACCCATTTTCACAGCAGTAAAGGTGGCAAGATCAGGACCATAGTTAGTGGGGAAAACTGATTTTTGAAAGAGGAGTTGTGTTTAAAAACTGATGGCACAGTATGGCCCAAATGAAATCCTATAGTCCACTCTTTTAGAAATAGGTCTGAAAGCTATTAAGAATAGGTGCTGTGTAAGAACAGGGACTGCTGAATTGCATTAGGAAAAATGTCAGTTGTTTGTGAGTGCATAAGTAATGGCAGCATTTACATAATGATATCAAAACCAATTGTTGTATTGGATGATTTTTATAATGCTGCAATTATCAGCACTAAAAGGATTATTAACATTCACAGGATTCCACGTGCTATCTAGTTTCCTGACATGCTTATGGGTATGATCTTGCTGCCACTGAAATCAATGGAAAAAGCCCATTTGACTCTATTGAGACTCTTTACAGGCCCAAAGTAAATGAAAATACTGCACTGTTGGAGGGAGTGTAGTATTATTATAAATATATGCAAGGAGACACACTTATACAGTAAGAGTATTTCCCAACGCCCCCTCCCGCCCCCTTTCTATCCAGATCCTCTGATGGGGTAAAATGGAATTGAAGTCAATGGTGCTATGCCAGTTTACCCCAGCTGAGGGTCTGGCCCAATGTACTAAAATTCTCTGTGTGCTGTTTATAACATATGCAGTTTGTTTGATTAAATTAAGTCTACAGAGAGCGAGCTGATTTAGTGCACGCTCCTGCTCTGAAGCAAATCAGTGGTGAAACTTCCACTGACTTCAATGGGAGCAAGACTGGGTCTGATTTTGCCAGTCATGGAGTAAGAAACTACTTAAGTATCAGTAAATGTGGCAGAATCAAGCCTCTAGTAGTAAACTGAATGTGAGAAAGAGTTGTATTCAACGCTTCAGATTCATTGGGAGAGTTCTAAAATAACGATTAGTTATATAAACAGAAAATGAATGACAACAGTGGTCCTTTTTATTTACAGGTAAATGTTTCTTTTTTCTTTTTTGTATTTTTAGGGGGAAAATAAAATAAAAATGACATTTTCTCTAAGTAGAAATTGTTTTCAAATCTACTGACCTTCGGCGCAGGTTTCTTCTACCAGTACCCATGAATGGACAAAAGCTGAGCAGCTGTGTGCCAGCCTATGATTGGGCATGAGGAGTTCATTTTGCTTTTGTCCATCATTATTTCCACAAATACCACAGGTCCTTCCTCTCATCCATGAAACAACAGTAACCTATAAAGATAACACATCTTTTCTGTCGATGCTAATGTGTTGGCCCATTACAATGCAAAGGTGTAAAAGAGAAGAAAGCTAGTAATATAACAGATTCAGAAGTACCTTAAGTGTCGATCCATCAAAAGTCACATTCGCCAGCCCTTGGTCTGGAGCTTCTACTACAACTGTTGTTTCATTTCTATAAATTTTAATGTTTTCTGTAAAAAGATACAACCGTTTACAGGTGGTTCCTCTAATTTTGAAATAGTAAAGAAATTACCTAATCTCAGGGATAATGTATATTATCATTAATTTTCATTTACAAAGACTGTTTACTATTTCCATCTGAATACATTTTTTGTGGAGAGGTGAGGTCAGAAATAAGAGTTTTTTCTTTTTATTTGCAAAATGCTGTTTCTCTGGATCTATATAGCTGTCATTGACTTTTCTGTCTAGTCAATAGAGCCAGCCTGATTTACACCAGCTGAAGATCTGGTCCTAAATATCTAGCTTTCTCTATGATGTTCATCATCATGGCATTGCACCTACATATAAACAAGTACCAATATAGTCAAGCAGCTCTGAATGCAAAATGCTTCACATTTCAGTGAGAGGATTAATCTTTATGCTTTACAGTGGCAAGCACACTATACAAATCAATATAATAATGGGCCTGATTCACTTATTAGTGAAAATTAAGAGTATGTCAGTTGAAGTCAGGTATGTAAAACCAAAATAAGTCACAGAAGTATCAGGCCCATAGTTTTTCTTAGTATTGATACACAATTATTTTTTACATCTCGAAGTCCTCATTAAGCTTGTAAAATATTTTGGCCTAGATAATATTTAGTCCTGCCATTAGTGCAGGGGCTAGACCAGACGACCTCTCGAGGACCCGTCCAGTCCTACAATTCTATGATTCTATATTCCTGTAAATATTTAATTTCTAAATAATTCCTGGAAAGGTGAGTAACACACTTACCTCTTTTATTTTGATACATTTTGCTGTGCGTTAACACTGGTCCGTCATTGTATGACACGAGGATAGAGGAAGATGGAGAAAGATAGAGTCTCACGCTTCTTGAAAGAAGAAAACAAATGTGTTTAACTGTGGGAACATTGATGTAAATGACCAACACAGATACAGCCCCAACTTCAGCATCCAAATTTTGAATATGCCCCCAAAGTTCAACACTGGTTGGGTTTAGGGCTCTGGTTCAACACTTTCCTGGAAATGAGAAGCCCAAGGAGGTAGCTGTGTGGGGGCTGTTGATAAGCATTACCTGAGAAATTGAAGAGAGAGGCTGGAGGGCAGAAGACGATTGCTGGTATTATGATTTAAAAAGTACCCATCATTTTTTCCAATGCAACAAAATGTAAACTAACTTCCTAAAATTCTATATAGCGACTCAAGAATGATTACACTTACGATGAACTAATATTGATGTACACCTCCCTGGAGGAAGAGCGTGGATTGACTTTTCTCGTCATGACGATGAATTTGGGGTGAGCAGTGCAGTCTTGAGCTACTACAAGGTTGCAGTCTTTATTGAATGAACATTTGTACTTCACTCTGTCAAATGTTTTGAAGTTTTCTTCCCTCACTTCACATGTGGCTGAAAAACAACAATAAAAATAAATGGCTGATGCAACTGTGCTTTGGAGATTGTCATGGAGATTTTGAAAGCTGCCCAAGAGGTCTGAATGGCCAGTTCCCATTAAAATCAATGGGAATTGGACAGCCAAATCTTCTTGGCAGGTTTTAAAATCTCAGCCTAAGTATACATACTTAAGAAAGGCACGGCAGCAACATAAAATGATCGATCAGTGTGGAATTATACTGTTGTATACCCATCACTTTTTTTTGATAAGCAGCTGAAAACAAACCATCTAGTGATAGTCTTGTTTTAAAGACTCTGTTACTATCACATTCCTGAGAAGCTAAAAGTTGAACCCATGACAAAAACTATTAGCATTTCTCCAAATTTTGCCACTGTTTGTAATAAGTATCATTAGAATTAGACAGACCCAGTCCTACTAAAAATCATGAAGTCTCCCTTCTAAGGAAAATAAATAGGATTGGAAAACTCATATCCCTGCCCTACATCCACCAGGTCATCCCTCTCGTGGTGGGGATGACAGCCTCTTGGAAGCGACAAAGGACAGAGCCACTTGGGATCTCTGTGTGAAACCCATGAATTCCTAACCATGCAAACAGACCTGAACTCCCTGCGCCCCCCTTCCAACAACTGCTGAGAAGGCATCTCCTGGGGTTGGGGTAAGGGTAAAGGTAAGGGTTGCCAAGTTTCCCCAGAAGAACACTGCTTGAAAAGACCAAGCCCAAAGCTGACAGGAGACAGAGTCACCGGAGGGGCCAAGTTTTAACTATTACAAATAACCATTGCTCATTTATCAGGGACTAGACCAGTACTGAAGTAACATTTACATTGATCTTCTTTAGCTATCAGTGAAGATATTTCTGGAAGGAAATTCCAAGCAGTCACTTCTGGAGCCTGAGAAGCTGGAGCTGGGCTCACAGGCAAAGCAAATGGAAGTGGGAAAGCCTCATAGTAAAAGGTTAGCTGAAAAAGAAGCAATGAAAAGGCTTTAGGATATGTTTAGTCATACAATTTGATCAATCATAACAAGCAAAAAGGCCCCCCTTGTTAAAAATTCCCTAAATATGTATTTGTATAACTGGAGTCATTACAGTCTTCCCAGGACATTGTGGGCACCCAAACCTAACATATATATTTTTATGAGCTCATTATCTTTTATTTTATTATCACTTGTACATTTTCTTGAGAGATTATCTTTAAACGATTATTTAAAGACATAGGGAATTAAGATGCACAGATGATGTTTACGGTATTGTTAAATGACTTCCTTAAAACGAAAAACCAAACCAAACAAACCACCGCACCACAGGGTGGCTGAATAATAAGTTCTCTCTGCCTTATCCTGTCCCACTGCAACTAGGTACAGCAGACTAAAGAGCATGTGTTAGCTGGCAGTCTTACAGAATGAAAGTTGGCTTGATGTGATTTTGGTTAAGTTCGCATACCATAGAGAAAGACACATTAAATATATCTAGATAAACAGGTCATACACCACTCCCTCATTATCACATATGAAAACCCCCTGGAAAATTGAAGTACAAGGGTAGGTTAAGGACACACTTATTTCCTTTATGGAAAGCCAAGCTGTTGTTAAATTACACCAGACCGACTAGGGGACATTTTTCATAAAGATGCACAGGGATTTAGTGGACAAAGCCCAATTAATCAGTTGGAGTCTGCAGACTACATCTGTGCAGGCTGCTGGCAAAACATACCCCTTCTTGTTTGTTCAGAGAAGTGCTTCATTTGGGAGTTCCAAGGTTTGATCGGTGAGTAATGGACTCCAAGAAGCACCGGGCTGTAGGACTCCAGCACCAGTTAGGATATAGGTGCAAGTAAGGTTAAGCACTAGCTATAGTCTTCCTCAATGCATCCTTTGTAAGTCACACACCCCGTACTCCTGAGAGCCCAGGATAAAAACAAGCAAAGTGTGTGGGCAGGATGGGCATATCTGAGGAGATATCAGCTTCAGTGCTACCCTCCGCATACAAATGAAGCATTTGGCTACAGGCTTCCCCTTTGGGCATTACTCCGCAGGCCAGACTGAGTTGGTCCTGTGCAGTTGGTGGCTCTTTCATAATGAAAGCATCGAGTTCCCAAGAACTTCTAGTAATGCTGATCACGTTTTTATCTTGTGCTTTATGGCACACTACAGGATCAAGCCCGGTGTATTCAGGATCTACGGTAGCTCGTGTAGGAGGTAAGGTTCTGCATTTTTCCTTTCTCAGAATTAGCCTAGATGTATTACCCAAAGTCAAACTATACAACTAGAAAGTATATTTGGAAAAACAAACAAACAAACAAAAGGTCCACATACCCCCGGAGCCTTTATGACTGTATTAATTGTCCGTGATGAAGTTGCAACTGCTCTTACTACAAGTTCCTGAGAAGGATTTTTCTGATACACTTCTGAGAAGCCCATCAGGTATGCTATTCCAGGAACAAATTCCATAGTTCTAGAGATAAACAAGATGTGACATACTCAGAACCTTCATAACACCAACCAATATAACAAGAACAACACAACAAATGACAAGGTAGCAGACTGCATACGTTATAGTTGTCCTCCTTATCCAGGATGGAAGTTTTGTCCAAGCCAGCTTCACCTGTACAGCTGGATTCCTTGAAATTCGGCCTGTGGAAGCTCTTGCTTCAATTCTATACTCCCGGCATTCCTTGCCCCACCTGAACCTGGCCTTTATGAGGAAGAGAAAAAGTCATTAGAATTTTGGAAATGAAATCATATAAAAAAAATCTGTCATCATATCAAAATACATGATCTTGTTATGAAACTTCAGTGAAGTCTTCAATGCTCCTAACTCATTCACTAAATATACTTGTGGAGGAGCTTTGGCTACATCTGGAGGAATATGGGGATGAATGGTAAGGGTGGTAGGCCAGGCTGAATGTTCCCATTTTGAACGTTCAAAATCTTGCACTGAAACATGACCTAGAATTCTGCAGTGTGACATTTTGCTGAGATTCATTACATTTTGCAAATTCATCACCAATCTGTATATTTAAAGAAGAAATGGCATGCTCCTCTAGAAAGTTTACTTTTACAAAAATGTCTGGTTTTGCAAAGATAAACAATTTTCACTACTGACAATTCTGATGAAATTTTGAAACTGCAGCCACAAAATGCAGAAGTCTGGAGATCACTGTACACGTACATAGCTCTGCAGATGAAGGCTTCCACGACTGGGGCATGTGGGCATTGCTGTTTGGAGAGGCTTGAAAATAGAAACTGCAAACACAGTGCCCTAATTCCAATGCTTTCAGGCATCAACTGAACACCCAACATGACTTCAGCACCTCTCTTATATGGAAAGAAGGAAACAAAATGTCCTTGAAGTGGCAAGGTGGGTGAGGTAAAATTTTGTATTGGGCCAATTTCTGCTTTTGAGCCTCACAGAGCTCTTCTTCAACTCTGGGGAAGGTACTCTGAGCAGCACAGCCAAATGCAAGATGGAACACCTTGTCTCTCTAATATCCTTGGACCGACATAACAACTATGCTGCATACAACATTTGAAGTGGCTGTCATTTGAAATGCATGTATAAAGAAAGGAATGAGCCAGATCCTCAGCTGGTGTAAACTGGCACTTGAGCTGTTCAAACATTTTCAAATTTTGAAAATTTAGCTACAAATGTTTTTCAAACAAATTTTGAAAATTTTCACAAATTTATTTTCCTGTTTTTCAGTGGTTGCATTTTTTCAAAAATTCAAAATTTTGATGAAAAATATTTGCCAAAAATTCCAGGAAAATTTGTCTTCCTTGTTTGACCATCTCTAATCAGTATAGCCATCTGGTTATTTGATACTGAGGGGCCTTTTAAAGCTCTCACTTGGTGGAGCTAGTTGTATCTTTACCTGTGCTTTGAGAGGCAATACTACAGAATCAGCACACGCTTTCCAGTTAGTTTCAGCAAGCTGAACCACAACCAGTTGCATATCGACTTTGGCAGCAGCAGAGTTAATATATGCTGTGGCTTGGTAACCTTGATTTTTGTTGTCACTCCTAACTGCCCGAGCCACAATGGTGAGCCCAGGTGGAAGTACGTCTCCCAGGAAATTGGGCTGAAAAACAAAACAAAAATGGCAATGCTTAAACGCACATGTATATTCAGTGGTGAACGTTGGATTCATTTCGTACTGCACCGATAGCTGTACATCAGTACAGAGCCTGGGCTGGTTGAGAATGAACATAGTTCCAGACTCTTATTGTTATTTCAGTGTAAGTTTTGGTGGGTTATTCTCCTTTTTTATTTCAGTAGAATAAAGAATTTTAAAAAGATGCAGTTGTCTTGACACAAGAGCCACGACTTACTTAAGACATGTCAATGGACTTATTAAGATCTTGTGTATTATTTTTAATATTTAATCGATTTCTAGAACATTGGATATTACCATAGCAATATATTCATTCAGAAGCAACTCCTTTGAGCCATAATGAGAGATGTGAGTTCCTTATTAATTCCAGTATTCATACAATATTATGAATCCTTTGGATATTTCACTATGTATTTGGGCCAGGCTGGTATATTATTATTAAGATACAATTACTTGGAATGGATTCAGAATACCACACTAAGGATTGTGAACAGTTAGTGAGCTAATTGGTGCTTACAGAAATGTTTGTTTCTCCCTAAAAGTAATGGATCAGTTTTACTGAGCACATGGCCAGATTTTGTCTCTGTTACACTGGACTTACACTGATGAATTCCGTGACTCTACTCTGGAGAGTAAGCACTGCAAAACCAGGATTTAACATTTAAATGAATAGGTGGGTTTTTTTCATATTCTCAATGAATATATAAATTATATAGGACACATGCCTAAGTTGTGTTTTTCAGTAGAGCTGGTTGAAAATTTTCTGTCAAAACAGTTTTTGATGGAAAATACCTTATTAATGACATGGAAATTTTCACCAAAAATTTTAATTTTGGAGTTTTCATTAAAAAAATTCAAAATCTTTCCATTTCTAGCCACCCAAAAGGAAACTTTTCTTTGAAAGTTTTTGACTGCTAAAAACTCAAAAAAAAAAAAAATATTGAAAAATTTAGTCAAGAAAGGAACTTTAAAAATCTTTGTCACAATTTTTCACAGGAAAGAAATCATTTCTGGTTTTCAGCGTGTAAAAAAAAAAAAAGATCTCCCTGTAGGGCAATTTCCGGAGAGCAATGACTCATTGGGGTTAATGGCTAGAGGCACAGGCAAGGTCAACAATGCCCCTTACGCAGTCTAATTCCCAGGCAAAGATAAAATTTCACCTCATGTGCAAAGCTAGAATCGCTGCTGCTGCTGCTGCTACTGCTACTACTGCTGCTGCTGCTGCTGCTGTTCCTGCTGCTGCTGCTACTCTCTCTGGTGCTGCTGCTGGTACTGTCGCTGGAGCTGCTGCTGCTGCCTGACTGAGGGGAAGATGATGATGATGAGCTGCTTGACGACGCCTGATCTGGATTCTGTAGAAGAGAAATAGGTAAAAGACTGTATGATAGGTATTTGGCCAAATCCAGCTCTTATCATGAAAACCAGGAGCGGCGCCAGGGTTTTTGGCGCCCTAGGCGGGGGTCCTTCCGTGCTCCCGATTGTCGGTGGCAATTCTGCGGCGGGGGGGTCCTTCCGCGCTCCCGGTCTTCGGGGCACTTCGGAGTGAAGGACCCGCCGCAGAATTGCCGCCGAAGACCCGGAGTGCGGAAGGACCCCCCCGCCGCCGAATTGCCGCCCCCCCAAATCCTGGTGCCCTAGGCGACCGCCTAGGTTGCCTAAATGGAAGTGCCGGCCCTGATGAAAACTTCCTCTCCTAACTGGAAGCTCTTGTGTCAGTAATCAGATACTATGTCACACGGAGGCACCTAAACAGTGTAACATATCATTATAAAACTAGAGCTGGTTAAAAATATTTTATTTGTATAAAAAAGGGCAGGATTTTTTCATTACAAATTTCACAAAACCATTTTCCTATTTTGTGACCAGCCCTAATAACAAGAACTTTACAGGAAGAATCCATAAAGCCACCACATTTTCCTCCTCATTTAAGTACCTCCTTAAAACTCACCTCTGCTGTGATGCACACAGAATCTGCCTTCTGATAATGTCTAGGCAGGTGGCAAGCTCTTATTACTGCTACTGATTGTCTAAGAATTCTGCACATAGCTAGTCTGTGCTAAAATATCTTATTATTTTGTTATCCCTTTCTCCCCCCCCCCCAACATGCCACGCCTGCTTGTTATTTACTATATGGTTCTACACCACCTAACTCAGAATAGCCTTGATCTTGTTGAGGCTTCTAGGACTACAGCAATATGCAGGTATTATAATAATATTATCAATAATAAAAATGATTACCAGTCCATTGTGGCTGCTCTAGATGACACCATAGTATTCTTCACATTCTGACATTGGATATTAAATCATTTGGGGTCACTCACTCTTCAGAATGTCCACGTGAAATGAACATAAAAGTCATTTTTCTCCTCCCATCTTCCCAGTAACTGCTCTACAAGTTCTCTCCCTCCAAAGTGCTCTGTTTAATGCCATATACTCTATCACATCACATGCTAATATGTCTTCCCTTATGACATCCCACAACTTTTCCTTGAGTCAGCCTCTCTGTCTCTTTCCTTCAATCTTCATCTGTTGGACTCTCTTACTCGTACAGTTGTCAAGACTGTCCTTTACACGATCAAACCAACTGAGCCTGCACTCCCTCATTTTTTTCATTTATAAGAATTATTTTGAGAATGTATGAAACATACACATTCCTCATGTGGTCTTTCTTACTTATGCCACTCATCCATCTCAACATTCACATTTTTCTGTGGAAAAGATCACTTGCTCATATTTCTTCTTTGAAGCCCAACCCTCAGTGCCAGACTTTAAAACTGGATGGACTAGTTTTATAGACTTCCCTTTTAATCTTACTGGTATCTTCCTGCCACATATTACACCACTTATCTATCTCCATTTGAGCCAGGCATTTATTACCCTAGCTCTAATTTCATCCTCTACTTCCCCATTTTCTGGAACCCAGATACTTGACATTTTGTGGTTTTGGTATTGTCTGTCCATCTAGTTGTAGGAATAATTCTTCAGTGATCACATTAGTAAAATTACATACCATATATTGTTTTTCCTCTGCTTATTTTGAGTCCAAGTCTCTCCTACACATCTCTCTATTTATAAAGATCCTCTTCTAGACTATCTTTCTTCTCACTGCGTAGAATGATATAATCTGCAAACAACATGCACCAAAGTGCCTCCTTCTTTTGTATGTTCCTTGTAAGGGTATCCAGGATGAGGATAAACAAGAAAGGGCTCAATGCTGATCCCTGATGCACTCCCACCTTTACCAATCATTCTTCTCTTTCACTACTAGGAAGTTTTGACTGTTGACATTGCACCTACATATATGGCTTTAACAAACTGCACACAAAGTTCGGTATCATTTTCTCCCTCGTACGCCTCTGGATGACTTTCCTGGGAACTTGGGCAAAGATCAATGAACACTATGTGAATATTTTCCCTCTTCTCTCTGAATTTTTCTCACTAGCTGCCTCAGCTCAAAATCAGCATCTATTGTCAATCTTCCTGGCACAGAGCTATATGGGTTTGTTCTAATATCTACTTCACTTCTTAGTTTAATGATCATTAAAGTAAACACTTAAATGTTGGACTTACCAAATGGGACTTGAAGCGGAGTCGGTACATTTCTGGAACGTGCTGTTCCTGCAAAATTCCAAAACAAATTATTGCCTGCAATGATTCAACAAGAATCAGATCACATTCAACTATGATACATTAAAGATGGTTACCCAATCTCCAGATGAGTCATAACTGCTGCGACTGGTGTATTGAGACTTAGCATGTTTCCTCTCATCTTTTCTATCAGTTTTGCTGAAAGGATACGACTCCTTGGAACGCTTCTTGGCATCGTAGCGAGCTTTATCAGCATTTTCACTGCTGCTGCTGCTGCTGCTGCTGCTGCTGCTGCTGGGTCTGCCGGTGGTGGTTTCACTGCTGCTGCTGCTGCTGCTGCTGCTAGAGCTGCTCTGCTGTTTGCGTGCAGCCTTGGAATGTTTCTTCTCGTGAAAACCTCTCTCTTGATCGGCACTAGTAGCGTGTACAGTAGGTGGTTTCTTAGAATGTGTCTTAGCTGTATGTTTTCCTCCATCAGCTTTGCTGCTGCTGCTACTGCTGCTGCTGCTGCTGCTACTGCTGCTGCTGCTTTTCCCAAATGGAGATAACTTCTTTCCTTTGGTTTTAGAATGCCCTTTGCTGCGGGGCCCTTTCTGCTCATGTTCTTGATGCCCCTTCTGCTGTTCCTTGCTTGGTGGGCCCAATGAATCGTCAAAGGAAGATACATCTTTCTTCTTCAGATTTATCTGGTCACGCTGAGAATCACTGCTGGACTGGCTGCTGGATGAGCTGGAGCTACTGTTGCTGCTGCTGCTGCTGCTGCTAGAGCTGGATGATGATTTTCTGTCTTTTCGGATAACGAGTGATTTTTCCTAGTAGAAGACATGAGCAGAGAAAGACAATTATTATTCTGTTCACTTGCGGAAGTTTTTAAGTAAAATGCTCTTCTGAGAGAAAGAAGTCTTTCTGTTGTCCTTCAGAAAGCAAGGTCTCGTCCCCAAGTAGAGACTTCATCTCTGTTTATAACATATTTTAGTGATGTCCACATGGGATGGTGCTCTAAACCAATACATTTAGATGACTATATGTAGAAGTTATGGTGCATAGAATTGTGCATGACTGAAGTTAATACTGTATGATGTTATTTCCTACACTATCTAAAGTACTAAGTTTGTCTTGTTATTGTCACTTTATTTACTATTAAGAGTGTACTAAGTGTGTGTATATTGTCCCCTGCAAGTCTAGAAGTGTATATATTAGATAAGTACCTGGGTCTGGACTGTGGGATCATCAAGGATTTTCTTCAGTTTTTTAATTGCCTCTTTGCCAGAAGCTAGTTCCGTTTCTGTGTCTTCAAATTTTACTAAACGCACCATTTTCGCAGCAGCCTGAGCACCTGCTTGGATTGTTACTTGTATTTTCTCAATTGATGACCCTGTATGGACTGACATTACATGGCAATTAATATCACTGTTGCTGGTTATTGTTATTAATAGCAGTAGAGGACTACACTAGCCGTAGTATTGTATAACAGTATTGTTACTGTTTTTTGTTGTTAATAGCAGTAGAGGACTACAATAGCCCAGAATGTGCCAATTTCTGCTTTTATATTGTATGTGGGAGATAAAGCAACATTTTTTTTGCAGTTATATTTGCATTTGGTGAAAATGGATATTTCTGGTATTTAGTGACTTCGATAGTGTGTCATGCAAATTGAACTTACATACATTTTTCAGTGTTGAGCATGACGCTAGATTCATTTCAAGTGAATAAAAAATTGCAGATAATCCAGTCAGCACATCCAGGTCACTGGAATAAATTGCTTTTTTTTACCAGAGTTTATTGGCAGTGCCTTACTTGGCAACAGCTCTGATAAGAGAATTACACATTTGTTGCCATATCGGTCTTGACAAATTAACATGAATTTCTGTGTTTATATATTAATTAATTAGATATTGTGCTTGCCTCTGGACATTTAAAGGATGGTCCAGAGTTCAGGCCATTAGCCTGGGACTTGGGAAACCTTTGTTCAATATCTTTCTCTGTTACAGGTTTCATGTATGACCATGGACTAGTCATTTAGTCTCTCTGGAGTGTCGTGACAATAAATATATTAAATATTGTAAGGTGCTGAGATACTAAGGGCCATGAATAGGAGCCATGAAAGTGCCTAAGATAGAAAGACAAATATTTATTAGTTTCTCTCAAGACAATAGTATTTACCTGGTTTGCAGGTAAGTTTAAAAGCATTCTCCCCAACCAGATAATAGAGAGGAGCCTTTCTGATAAATGCAGCATTCACACTTTTCCTTTCTGCGCAAATTTCAACTCCAAATGTACTTGCATTGAAGCACATGGAACGAACAGATGGTACTTTCTGTTGGGATGATTGTCCAGCTGAATAGATGTTTCCTGTTGAAATGATTTCTGAAGACAGTCTACCCTATTGTGTAATAAACACATGTCAATGTTAGATTCTGTGATGCCAATAATAAAAAAATATCATCAAATTGTTAAGTCTCCTGTTTTAAGAATAGATTCCTGTATGTTTTATAGAGGTGATTAATTGATTTGCTTGAGATTCTGGTCGTCTGACATGGAATGACCTTGTTGTCAGCTGGTCAAATTGGCCATGTCATCTCATGGTCAAGTAGGCCATGTCATCTCACGTTTATGGTATCTATTTAGAATAGAAGGGGAAGGAGCATCAGGATTTAAGGCTGGAAAATGGAGTTCCACCTAATCGTGCTAATTATTTTATTTGGCTTTGTTTGTTCAGTGATTCAAGCTGTGTTCACTGAATCCCAGAATCTCGGTAACCCTATAATGACTGTAGAAGTTCTAGACAAAAAGAAATTTATAGTATGGAATTCTGTCCTACAATAAACATTGAGCCAAATTGTGGAGCCCTTACTCAAGTCAATGGAGCATTTGCCTTGATAGGGTTCTAATAAAGACTACAGGTTTCATCAGCTAAGAAAGCCACAAAGATCTCCTAGATGGCCATAGTGGATGACATTAGAAAGTGCTTCCCCTAAGCATTCCATATATGGCAAACAATGGTTCCAAAGGACCCAATGAATTACAGTTAAGAGGTTGGAACTAAATCTGTGCAATGCAATTTATGGTTTCCCTGATCAATGAAGCTAACAGCTAAAGGGACAGAACCATGAGTTTCCACCAGCCAGGTGCATAGTGCCTCTTTAAATGTAGTAAAAGATTTACAACCAATTTTACTTTTTCATAAATGAGTAAATACTTCACATTTTTGTGGACTGCCTGACAAGATTCCTGAGTTGTCAGAGGCATACTCTAAAAATACAGCTTTTAATGGTAGCTCTTTCTTTTGCAGGTAAATTCCAACTATGCTGGGAATCGTTCAAGTTAGGCTTATCATTTAGTTACTGTTCATTTAGTGTCAGTTCAACAGTCAGGGCCAGATTCTGTGCTGCAGCTCTCCGCAGATGCAGCAGAGAGACACAGACTAGGAGGATTCAGCTTGTTTCAGTGCCACAGGGGCTGCTCCACCTTATATACTCCTGGGGGAATTCTGCACCACTGCATGCATGCATAATTAGTGAGCCATGCATATTTTTATTTTTTTGCTGCAGTTCTGCCTTTTGTGGCGCTAGAACACAGCAGCAGCTCCCAGCCAGATAGGGAAGAAAAGAGCCTTCTTCACAGCAGGCCAGGTCAGGAGATAGGGGCTATGAGGAGACAGACAGCATGAATGCTGGCGGGGTCAGACAAGGGCTCATAAGGGCTAGTGGGGGAGGATAGACTGGGGCAGGAGCTGAATGGGAGTGGAGGCATAGGGCCACAGGGGGAAGGGAGGTGCAGGGCCACATGGTGATGGGGAGGGGGTGCAGAGCTACATAGGGACATAGGGTGTCTGAATGGGGGCATAGATACACATGGAGATGAGGCGGGGGTGCAGGGCCACATGGAGATGGGGAGAGTAGATGTCTGAGTGCAGGTGGGGGGACACATGTGGACAGGGGGTGCAAGGACACACAGGGATGTGGGGAGTGGGTGTCTTAAGTGGTGGTGGAGGGACAAATGTGCCTGACTGAATGGAGGAGGCTATGGGTCAGCCAGGATCTGTATGGGGGAAGCTCCCTAACAGTCCCTCTCCCTGCCCGCCCCCCAAAAAACCCCCGTTCCATACTTTTCCCACCCATACCCAACAACCTTCCAAGTTCACACCCAGGCTCCTTGTCAGCAATTATTTCCCTTTCACTCAGATCCTCCATTACCCCTGACTCCCCCCAGCCTTTGCACTGCCTCTGGGGCACGTGGGAAATATGGTTCTGTATTGTAGTTTAAACAAATTATTACTCAGAGTTCTGTCTTAATATGCAAAGTAATCTATTTGTCAAAAAACATTTTCTGAATCTTTTTTTGTCTGTTACACACATACTTGCTGACAGGTATTTTGAAATAAATGACCAAAAATAATTGAAACGGGTGTGATTATATTGAGTTATTTTGACAAATAAAATATGCAGAATTTTGCAGAATTTGAAAATATTGTGTGCAGAATTTTTCATTTTTTGGCACAGAATCCTCCCAGGAGTACTTATAGCAGCCTCCCCATGATTGCCTATAGGCTTTGCCACAGCAAAGCACTATGGCCACTCTCCTTTGGACCCCCATCCCATCCATGAACCAATTGCCAACATACCCCTCTGACAGAGGCTGTGAGGGGGACAGTACAGTGTTTTGTACACCATCCCTTGTTGCTCTTGCATTGGAGGAATTCTCCACAGGGCCATTGTGTCTCTTATATGTTACTAGAGCATCACGAAGACGCTGAACTAGAAAGCCCTTACTGAAAACTGTGTCCCCAAAATGGAATTATAGTCAGTCATTTGACTTGTCACAAAAACAGACATTCATCCCTGAACCAGAAATGCCCCATTCCTCAACATCAAATTTCAGTTCTACTTGTTGAATAATCCACCTGTCGCCGCATGGAACATTTTCTAACCCTCTGTTAATTTACAGGAAGGCTACATGAGAGTTACAATGCATTTAAAGGGTTGTGGGCCTTTCCCATAGGAAATTGCAAAAATTAATTATTCAAGACAATGTTATAGTTTCTAAACACAATTATGTTAGCCTGACACTGTGATTAAATTCCAGATTTTTGTTATATCATTACTATTGGGTTATTTTTGTCCGAAGGTTGTACTTGACTCATTTTGAAAAAAATAATGGGTCAGAAATCATTAATACAAATTCACTTCTGGATAAAGGAGATAATCTTACACAGATCAAAAAAACAAAAGGAGTGTTCAAAATCCAATATGTGTTACCCTTATTTTATCACTCTCGCTTGATGCGGAACCTGAATCGAAGGACAGCTTCATTATGTCAGGCACTGCCTCAGGTAGAAGAACTGGCGTCATCTTAGTGGCAGCTAAGTCTTCAAGATTTCGTGTAACAGCATACGTCTTAGACCTGCAGAATAAACATGAAGGGGAATGTTGTATCGATAAGCACTTCTGAGGAAAAGATCTGAATTATATCTTGTGGCGTGTACTTAGCAACAAACATCCTACCTTGCAAATTACTTCACAGATATTTACAGAAGTCATCCTGCTAGTGAGATTGTCAAGCCCTATAAAGGCTGCAGAGAAATGTAGACCAACATTTTCAAAGTTGGGTGCAATCACTGAAAGCAGTGGGCTCTGTGCATGTAAGCACATTGGAAAACGGGGCTACTTAGTCTGGTGTCTAGCTATGGATTTAATTGCTTAGCTTTTGGCTCCCAAGTTTGGAAATTACGGCCTTCTTTTTAATTTTCAAAATTGTACATAGCCTAGAAAAGACTAGCACTTGGGATGCTTGTTTCTAAACTGTTACTTCATCCTCTCTTTTTTATAATTAAAAATAATAAACACCAGGGAAAGTACGCCATGAAATGTAAATTCTTGTGTGACATTTATTAAAAATGCCATTGAAGAGAGGCGCCGAGAGTCACCTGAGCAAGGCATCCGCAACTTGCTGCAACTGCGTTATCGCTAGAATCATTGCTTTTCCCAGACCAGGAATGTTCAGAACTTTATTTACATAATAATATTCAGTACCGAAGTTCCTAAGCTGTTGTTTATGGACTGCTGGTGGTCCAAGAGCACTCAGATCTGGTACTAGTAACATGGGATGAGATTCTGTATTGCACCCCTTAGAGGCTCAGAATGAGGAGGTGGCTTTAAGCCACCTTTGTGCCATCCCAATCCTGGGCTGCTCCATGGCCTGGAGAATCCTCCCCCAGCCAGATGTGGGGCTTTTAAGGTCCCTTTACACCTCTCCAGCCCTTTTACCAGGTGTAAGGGGGCCCACACAGAGATGAGGATCTTACCTCTGGTGCTTGCTCTTTATTTCTAGCTGTTTAATAGCATTAAAATACAACTAAAAATACCTTATGTACTCTCCTAATGTTTCTTTTTCATGTCACCAATTGCCGTAGCTACCACAGGGTTGTTATGGGATTGTGAATGAGAGGAGGTGGCCTGCCTGACCGCGAATGGGGAGATGGCCTATGAGATGATCTCTATTATAATGAGGTCCACACTGTGTGAAAGTCTGAGCGCTCTCAATCTTCCCTATTTGAAAGGTGAATTTGTATTCATTTGATGGTGCTCTCTTCCTCTTGAAGACTCTTGCCATGCTGCGTGCACTGTAAAGCACACAATTGCACTTCATGTGGAACACCTCAATAAAACACGTGTCACCCAGGGGGGCTTTGTTTGCTTTTCCTGCTCTCCCATTTTAGATAAGGACATGACAGCAACGCTCCATGCTGAGCGTGAGTAGAACCTTGAAGAATGGAATCTGAAGTGAAATATTCTTCCTAACAAGCTGAGTGGATAAAAGAAAATACAAATCAACATGCATTTCAGATGGCTCATCTGGATAAGGGAGACAAAGGAAAAAGCAAATGGCTTTTATTTCAGGCCCATTCAATAATTTAAATGACCACCGAACAGCAGGCTGGGTCTCCAGGCACAAAGCTCTCCTATTCCTTTTTTTTTTAAGTATTATTTTTTTATGCCAATAGTCTACTCCTGCCACCTAATGAAAGCGGAGGATCAATTCCTCCCTGTTGTGCTCAGAGAGCTGACAATGCAGCTGCATCAGAGGTGACACATGTCAATGTCTGCAGAATCACACAGCACAGTAAAAATAGGCTGTAAGAGCCAACTCTGGCTCTTTAACAAGAAAAAAACAGTTACAAAGAGGGCCTACAGCTATGATATGAAAGAATCTGTTCTCTGTGATCCCACACAAGGGAGAAAATAAAAGGGAGATTTTCCAATATATGTATTAGTGTATTTCTTGGATAACAGAAGAAGCTGTTCATTTATCTGTGATATAATATCAGCCAAATTCAATGTGTGTGCGTGTGCGTGGGGGGGGGGTGGATTCTGTTGAACTGGGCCCATTTATGTCAGCAGCGAGTGTTGTCCTAAGTACTAGCATAGAAAAAAGAAAATAAGAGCTATATATGAATATGTTTCATTATTTAAAAAGTCTTTATTCATTTTAAAACACTACCTATAAGAACTACATAAATGATACGCAAGTAACAACCCTATGGCCAAATTCTGATCTCATTTGCACCAGTGAAAAGCCAAAGTACCTCCGTTGAAATCCACAGAATTACTCTTGATTAATACCAGGAAAAATTAATTCAGAATCTGGCACAAGAATGTTAAAAAAATAAAGTTTTGAACTGGTATGGAACTTCCCTCCCACACATGCACACCACATCTCCTTAGTAATGTCCTGTACGACACACTGGCCCACTTGTGTACTCCTTCCTAGGAGAGTGAAATTATCCCATGTCACATAAAATTGTGCAATTCTGTCATTAATCTTATTTATAAGAGGCTCTTGTGAAGCAATTTCTGCCAGGCCAACCTACAATTTTTAAAAAACTGGGACACAGCACTATGCAAGCGAATGTATATATTTCAATAGCTTGTCATTATGAATATGAGATACATTTTCAAAGAGTGCATTCTCTGGCATCTCTCCATACATATACTTTAAGCACAAGGCTCTGATTTTCCCCAAAGTTTATTTACATTTCTTCCTGTAAATGTTATAGGAAAAAATATGTTTTTAAGTGGCCATCTGCTGGCAAGCTGAATATAATACCAATAAATATGCAAAACCCAATAAGTGTGTGGAAAAGGTTTTAAAAATACCTAGGGTTTGTATTGTTTCTCAAATTCAGTTTAACTTTGATTGGATTGGATTGAAACAAACGCTTTGTATTTTTCATGTAGTATTATTAATGGGTAGTTGTGATATGTGTTGAAAAGGGAGTCTGAGTCCTAAATTTGCTGTCTTGTCTTGGGGCTTCAGTGTCTTTATCATCAACACTTTAAATCAATTCTTCAAAAGTCAGTGATTTCTCATCTGGGTTTTTATTTGCTGCTGGAGTCTCATGCATCTCACCATTCTCACAGAAATGGTGTACCAGCCTAGATAATATTGAACCAGATTTTACTCACAGTTACATGCCCATGGAAGTCTGGTCGCTCTCAAAGCATGAGTGCCAGGAGACAGTCATGCTAGCTTACCCATGCAGCCAACTATCTTCTCACTATCTGTAATGTCACTGTAAGCTCTCAGTGCAAGTTGGTTGGACTAGGTGACTTTTTAAGGTCTCTTTCAGCCCTGTGTTTCTATGCTGCCTAGGTAGCTCACTGACTGTGAAGTCCATAAAGACTGAGTCAAAGTGCCATATTGTAAAATATAGTTTCATTATGAAGGCTGCTCACAAATGGCTCTAAATAGCAAACACCTCCAACTTCTCAGCTTCCCCTTAAGAACCATTCCCTGTGGTTTCTTTAACAGAGGATACAAAGGTAAATAGTGTCAGAAAATTTCCAAAATATTGAATCCAATAGATTTCTTCTAACTTGACAGGAAGCACTGAACTATTCAAAATATCATGCAAAACAAATCCATATTAAATTAAGATTTCCTGCTAATTCTCCATATATTGATTTAATATTTTTCCTTTTACATTTAAGATTTTACCTGTCCCAGAAGTACGTTGGTGACATGGTTCAATCTTTTGTTCTCTGATCATTCCCCTTATGTGCACATTGTTTCATTCTGAGTGCATATGCCATTACTCACTTGTTTTGTAGCATAGTTTTGAAATTCTTTTATAAGCATAAGAAAAATTGATGGTGATAAAACTTTGCTCATCTTTGCTAGAGTCTATACCATTAATGTATGTGTTTGATTAGGCATTATCTAATTATTTCTATCTAAGATGATTTCAGGTGACATATAATTTACTGTGCTTTGATACTCAGAGGTGAGCAAGGGGAAGTGGTTTGAATAGGAAAGTGTGGCTCCTGAGTTCTAATCCCACCGTTCTAATGCTGGCTCACTCTCTGACCTGGAACAAGTCATTTAACATTTCTGTGTCTAAGTTTCCTTTTCTGACAGACAAGGAAAATAACTATCTCGTTTTGCAGGAGTGTTGTACATTAGTTAAAGTTTGTATAACAATTTGAAGCTCCAGGTAAATGCTCAGCATTATTATTAATATTCATTATTATTATTTATTTCCTTAATATTCCCTTTAACCTGTCCCACACTGGAACCCACTCAGAGTGTTTGGCATAAATATCCCTTTCTAGCTGATCTCAGGAATGAACGTGTGGTCCATGCAAGAGACTGAACAAACAACTTTGGGCCATGACCCCTTTGAAGCTCTTGCACAGATAACTGATGCTCTGTCAACTGTGGAAGAACTCGCCCCTTTGTTTAGGCATCTGGAATGCTTCCTGAGCATGTTCACTGGAACCCCCAAAGTCATTGTGGAGAACCTGGTTATGATCACTCTTGATAGAGTGAAGGATTCACGCTTGGAGGAGGGTGTAATACAGAATGTCTAATAAGACAGTTTGCGACCATAATAGGGAGAGGGGACTTTTAAGGGCGAATAATGATCAGCCTCCATGACTGCTAAACTGAAGAGGCCTGCAGAGCTTCCAGGAGCCAGCAGCCATGAATGCTAACTTCAGGTGGGTCAAACACTGAATTCTTTCATTGCTGCTATATTCCTAGAACAGAAACTTGTTAACATTTCTGGGCACTGTAGATTTCTGTTGTTGCTGGCACTTCTCCTTTGTGATGAATTTTCAGCCTGGCTATCTGTGTCTTTTGTATGTGAACATTTTCCTAAGCTTTGGTCTGCTGCTTTGATTCCTTGGACACTCTCTTTTTCCCCCCTCCCTGCCTCTCTTTGTGCTTGTATTTCTATCTGGTTTTGGTTCGTTGCATCTGGCTGCAATAGTTTTCCAGAGTGTTTTGCAGTTGCATGAATGGTAGTAAATCAAGTAGACCAATCAGGCAAGAAGATCAAATGCCCACCACAGGAAAACCAGATAAAAACACAAGAAATGCTGAATTCTGTACAATTTTAAAACATTGAATGTGTGTATGTGTGTGTGATTAGCAATGTATTCCAATTATAATCAATGGTGTTCATTCTGCTTAAACCTAACCTTATGCTTTCAAATGCAAACTTTTTAATACATATATATTGTGTAGTTATTTGAGAGAAAAAAATGATGAAATGAATGTTATAAACAATTTGGGCCTAAAAGTGGTTTAAAAGAGAAAAGCAAGTGAAGACCACTGGAGAGAAGTGGCATTTATATAAGCATAATTTTTGATTCAAGGCATTTACTCTATAATAAGTAAGTTATGCCAGACAGTGCCAGTCAGCCAAATTATTTGCATGGGGTGATTCCTAAAAAGGAAATGCATTTTATTTTCAAAAGATTCCTTTCTGCATTACTACATAGAAAAATAATATAATATCACCAAAAGCATCATAATATGACTGATACAACCTGATATGAGAAAGTTCAGAAATCCGAGTCATAAAATGGATGCAGCTTACCTTAGAGTAACAACATCAGTTTCCTGGCTGCATGGTGGGATTTCCAATTTGAAATTCTTATCCTTAATATTCAGAGTAGCCGCAACGTTCATAGGGATATTTATATTCGCTTTAGCATGTGCCTCCAATCCAGCTTGGAACAGGTGTGTATTAGTTCCCATTACAAAGATCATGTCCTTGACCATGCTGAAAAATTAGAACAACATGGTGAAGTTGCAAGCATACAGTAAACAGCTGACAGATACTTACAACTGCCCTGTGCATTTGGAAATATGATCGTTTTATTTTGTACTAAATGTTTACCTTAGGGTCAGCTTGGATCGCACTTTAATATTGGCATTAAGTAAGTCAGCCAGTCTGAAATCGGAACTTGGAGTTGGTGAAATCTGTGCCTGAACTATTGTAAAGAAAGAAAAGAATATGAAACTGTGTAAAAAGTACCTTGCAGTCCTGCATACCACTTGATATTCAATTTGCCTTACCACTTCCTGCAACATTTGTGAAAGAAGCATGATACAAGCTTGTCTCCATTGGGAATCCAATACACATAGGCACAATGCGACGGACTTCCGCAGACAACAAAGCTTTCGACCACTGGGTCCCTACACCACTTTGAAGATGATTTATGAATTTCTTTATTGAGGGAATTTTTTCTTCTGGTCCATACAATGCCTGCAATTATAGATTTGCCCTGTTTAAATAAGTAGAACTTGAATATCATAGCCCATGTCACAAATTATGCTCCAGGAGAAAATCTGCCAGCAGTGATTATAATCACTATTGATCAAAGTTTGAACTTATTGTACATGATCAAATCCTTACAGCAAAACATCTCATGAGTGTAAAGTTAAAAAAAAAGGAAAGAGAGAAAAAAAAAGAAACAGTATTTTATGCCTTTTGATCATGTGTCTGATGGTACTATCAAAGAGCTACCTGTAATAGAGTTTGGATGGAATCCTTATCAAGTGCACCAGAGAGGATTTCTTGTCCAAACATCTTCATGTAGCCTGATGCAAAAGGTTTATCACTGGACTGTGCCTTCCAGTCAGAGAGCTGTGTGACAAGAAGAAGTTTGTTAGAATGTTCCTGGCATTGGTAGGATTAACCCCTTACTACATTTTTTTTCTGTGAACGCACCGTTTTCAGAACTTCCCTCACATCAAATGCACTGTCAGAATCACTGTCAGGTAAGTGTCTTTTCGCTAACATCTCCTGCAGTCTTTCAACTTTCAGTCCCACCTGCGTAAAGAAGTAAATCAGAAATGAAAAAAAGTGTGGGAGGGATAAAAAAACAGTGATATTAATCAGAGAAAAATTGTGGGAACGCCCATTTACCTCCAAAGGTTCAGCAATATGTCCAACGAAATGGGCCCTCAATTTGAACAATGCTATTGATGGGAATATGCTGCCTACATTATTCAGTGTCAATGAATGGGCTGCCATTCCAATCATAAGAGACTCTAAAGAGAAAGGAAAATATACAGTAAAACGCAAGCTCAGTTAGTTTTTAAAACCACAGAGTGCAGACTGTATCAATTTACTAATTGCATAATATGAGCAATACAGCATGACATGAGAGAGGCCAGAAATCCCAGTAATAAAACTGATGTCATAAAACTGTCATAAACAGAATATTCTGCATATTTGAACTATTAATGGACAAAATTACAACTCCCCTGCTCGTTGCATAGCAATTATGCTATTTTTTCAATTGCTTCTGCTATATCATTTACATCCGGTCAGATTCTGTAACATCAGCTTATGAGGTGCATTTACAAGACATCATTCAATGTAACTTGACAAAGGGGATCAGGAATTGAAACAGATTTGCCATCCTTTGCTAACAGTTATGGGAAAGTGATATAGATGTCCTATAAGGACAGATGGTGAGGTGTAGACGTGTCTCCCAAATTACTCTAAGGCAGTTAAATACATCTAGTAATAAATGTTGTAACTCCTTACATGAAGTGGCACTAATTGCTCAGTAATTGTTAACTGTCAAGTAAATACAAAGTAATGTAATTTATATGTATTTCCCGTTCTCTAGGTTTATCATACACAATGGGGCAGATCCTAGGGCATGGTTAATTTGTACAGAACACGTCAGATGGCTCTGTGCTAAGGTGGTTTAAAACTCTCCTTTGCACTCCCTTGATCTTGGTGCAGCTCTGCCCAGTCTAGTCCCTGTGCTGTGTGAAAGTAGCCTCAAGGCTCTTCTAAAAAAAATTGGGCTTCAACAAGAAGACCAAAACCATATGTGAGAACCAGGATAGCATAGGGGCATCCCTACTACATCTCCTTTCCTACACTCTTCCCTTGTTACACCAGCAGCAGCTAGTGTGAGTGGCTGAAGAACTCCTATGTTAGATCTCTGCCACTGGAGGATCACCCTTACTTTGGAATTATACTCCACATGCTTGTTAAACTGGCTTTAGGACCAGACTACACCAACAATGCAGCACAAAGTTGAATAAACTTTACTGAGACCCCATATTGCTGCAATCCCATTACATAACACAGGAATCTAATGGAGAAAGGACTGGAGGCAACAAACTAAGCCATCAGGAGATATAATTGTGTTCGGTCTCCAATACAGCCAAGAGATGTCATTTTAGTGTGTAATGATCCCACATTGGATCACCCACTAAGGAGTAAATCTGAGGCTTTCAACACCAGAAACACAGGTCTCCACCAATTGAGATAGGTCCATTAGCTAGTAGCATTAGTACTCTATTATCCTTTATATGACCCAGCCACTGATGCGTGTTACAGTGCATATTGTCTACATTCTAGGCCATGAAATCTTGTCATTAACCCAAACATTGCACCTACTGACACTTAATAAGAATTGCTGCTTGTAAATGATTAGATGATTACACAAAATGTATTAACTTGAAGAGAGCATGGACATTTTCCATCAGCGTGTGTCAGTAACTCATACAGCTTGAGTATCAAATATTTTTAGTTTTCTGAGAAAATATTTACCAATATTTACCAATGCAAAATCGTGTTGGCACAGTCATATGATGCACTGTAGCCACTATATCTGGAGAGATGTGGATACATATAAATGTATCTGACTAAATGGCATATCTCGAGGAAGACTGAGAGATTGATGGAAAAAAACAATGCTGACAAAAAGCAATGTTCAAAAATGAAACCCTAAAATATTAATAAATGTGTTTTATTTAATTCTGTAATAATTTCTAGAGTATCTCCCTGAATGCATTTTAAAAAGTACAAAAGTTCACATAGCACGTATTAGTGATTGTATTTCTTCAGGCGTTCTCTGTCTGCGTCTCCAAGGTAGCAAGCATGTGTATCATATATTACTGTTGTCACTGTGGTATGTACTGTACTTATTTTCATTGTAGAGCAGATTAAATGGCTATGTAAAATCCATGAAAAAAAGGCAGAGCAGTAACAAGATCTACCAAGGCGTTGCAATAAAATAATAAAATAATAATAATTAATAATAATAATAATCAATAACAACAAAATACATCAGCATTTGTCACTGTAGGTTTAGAATGTTTCAGGGACTTGTTTTTCATTGATTTTTTACAAAAATAGCTTTAAATATCCTGATAAGTTACAAAAGTGATAAAAACATCCAAATACAGAGGGACTGTGTTTATAGATATAATTCCCCTAGTCTGCCAGCTAAATATGCCAAATTGTTGGGGCTGTCATGGTCATTTGTATCGGGGAACCACTTAAATAATCACCATTATCAAATAAAACTTGCATGAAAATAGCTAGAATTTGGTTGAGCAAGCATGTGTCTTCTTATCATGCTTTCTCTCTTTATACAGCTAACGGCCATACACTGCCTATGACCTGCGCACGAAACTCCCATTGACAGGAGTGGGATATCAACAGGATCCCATGCAGGGATCTACTGTATTGTATAGGAGAATTAAGGGTATGATGGTGCAAGCAAAATCTATGAACGTAAATCTTAGTTGTTTGTGGGAAAAGGAAATGTTTGTGTCTGAATATTTTCAAACTTGAATATTTAAAGATGGGCACCTATTTTCAGAAGTGTTGAACATTCATAGCTGCATTTGAATTCGGGGGAGTTGTGGAGGCTCAGCACTTTTAGAAATCAGACCACTTATATTCAGTTTTGGTCAGTTTTGGTGCCCAACTATGGTTTGAAAACTTGGCCTATGTCTGCATTGTTCCTAGCCCATCATGGAAGCTATATTGGGCTGGTTGTGTACAACGTAAAATGCACAGGGATATAAATCTCTTTAAAGGGAATATCCTTAGATATGACATTATATTCCTGATGATAGAGGAATTTTCAGGTGCAATGTGCAACTGACAAGCAGTTCAGGAATCTATGGGTAGAACTGGGCTTGTATGATTGGCTTGTATGATTCCCCTCCCACCCTTAACTTATGTGTATTTTATTTCAAAGCCTACAGGTGATTAATATAGATGGAGAAATTTGAGCCTTACCTCTAAACATACTAAGGCGGAAATCTTTGCTGAATCGATAGCTAGGTCTGTCAAGTTTGGGGCTGAGTATTCTGATAGCCATTCTGCAGGCAGAGGCCCTGAAAGATTCAGTGAATTGTACCATATTAAAATCTCCATTGCAGTTTTCAGGAAAGCAAGTTTCTCTTTTAGAGAAATAATGTGTAGTGCCCTTACACGACTTGGAGATCCGGAGCTGTACTTCTGCCCAGAGCCCTCAGGGAGGTAAAGATGAAAGTTGCCACTTGCATGCTAGGTTCTTTTAGCATAGCATTAGCTAAAGTCACCAAGACAGGAAGACCTGGTTTGGTTTCAAGCAGAACAAAGGCAGCAATCATTCGGACTTGAGGATTAATCTTGTGGTTTAGGAACATCTCCAGGGTAATATCTTGTACCTGAAAATAGTAAATAGAATTTTAAGTTACCGTATGTTTGAACATTTGCAATTAACTATTCATCTTTTCCCACCCTTTACCACAATTGTAGTACAAGTCTTGTGTTAGAAACAAAATCCATGCTTAATTTTTTCCATTTAATTCTTGCAAGTAATGTGGCAACAAAGTTCATGATTTTAAGTTCAGAAGGGACCATTATGACCATCTAGTCTGACCTCATCGGGCCAAAGGACCTCATCCAATGCATTTTGCATGAAACCCAGCTTCTGTTTGAGCTATAGCAATTCTTTTAAAAAGCTAGTCAGTCTTGGCTTAAAGCCTTCAAGTGATGAAGAACCCGCCACCTACCTTGTAAGTTGTTCCAATGGTTAGTTACCCTGAACGTGCCTTTTTTTCTAGTCTGAATTTGTCTAGTTTCAACTTCCAGCCATTGGATCTCATTATAGCTTTATCTGCTAGACTGAGCAGCCCTCTACTATCAGAAATCTCTTCCCCACATAGATACTTGTAGATTCTCATCCAGCCATCTCAAGTTTACACAACAAATTTAACTGCACATTGTTATATGTGACAAATATAGTCTGAGCTGTACAATATTTAGTAGTGTAAGCATCCAGGTTGTGCAGTGTAAGGGCTTGATCCAAAGTACTTTAATGATCAAGCTCTAACTGACCTGATATTAATTCAATGATGTGGATTAGCAAATGTTAAAATAAAGGTGACTACAAGGATGCAAATGTTTCCAAAATGTACACAACTATTTCAAATTAAGCAATGAAATGAAAGGCCACCTGGTAGGACTGATTAGTGCAAATTTGTGTGTAGTAAACCACAAACCTGGGATCACATTGTTTCTTATACAGTGGAACACCCAGTCATGGGCATTAAAATACTTCAGATTAGGGTTTTTCCAAAAAGTGCATAATAAATGTAATGAAATAACTGCCTGGGCCACATGAGGAGTGCTGGGCTCAGGGGGAATCACAGCCACAATACTGCTTTGAAACACCAAAGCAGCTTTTTCTTTTCCTCTGAAGAAGAAACCATGGCTCAACCCCCATCTCCCTGCTTATATATCTCATGCAACCTAGCAGCTGTTTCCTTATTTTTTCTGCTAAGAACACATTCTGGAGCGGCTTACCCTGGAGCCAAAATATGGGATCAAGACAACATATACAAAAATTGGGTATAACAGAAATCCTGATAAAGCCTCAGTGGGATGTTGTGAATTCAGCTGATGTAAAGATTAATTAAAACCATATAATTTTTTTTTGTTTAGAACAAGAAAAGAAAAAGAAAAGAAAACAACAATATTCCACCCTGAGTGATTAAAAAAGAATCTTGAACGTAAGTCAAACTTGAAAACATAAGGTTTCTGGTTTAGAATAAGACTGTTTTCAGAAGAGAGGAGCAGTAAAGCCTGATCTGTGGAGTAAGAGACTATTTTGTGCTGCCTGATCATAATATAACTCAAAGACAAAAGTCACATTTAATAAATGTTCCATTTATGGTTTAAACACACACAATGTCTATACATTCATAATTAGGATTCAACTCTGCAATATCTATGAGATATCAATATATATCTAAGATATGGCCCTGATTTATGATTAGATGTGACACTTAATCTATAGTTAATATAAATCTTTGGAAAACCTTGCTTTGTGGGTTCTCTCTCACACCAGTGTTGAAATAACACTAAACACATTTTGATCAGTAACTTATCATGTATCTTTGGAAAATTAGATTTTAAAATGGAAATGCTGACAACAACCCAACAACAGAATAATGAACATATCCTTATACTAAGCTATTCCGTGCGTTCTGAAATACTGAAGATGAATGTGTCATAAGGAATTGGAGGTTCCCACTCATAAATAATGGAATTAATGTAAAGAAAACCACCAGAAGTATGTATAAAATGCCACCCCTGTCTTGCAACAAATAAAAACAACACGTTGAGCTTATAGCACATGCTAAAGAGGGATTCTTTGTTTCCTTACCTTTCGTGGGTCTCTCTTGGCCAGGTTTCTCAGGGCCATCACTGCATTAGTTTGAACCCTGACTGGGAGATCAGAAGCACCAGGTGCATATCCTGGCATAAACTTCATGATGCGCTTTAGGATGGTTGGATGTCCTACATTCCCAAAGGTCTTCAGGGCCAGGACCATTTCTTCCTCCTTGGCCCTGCTGGATGCTTCAGCTGCAAAATCATATAGTGGCTGAAAAAACAAAAAGGGTTTAAATTGCAATTCGGTTCTGTAGACATACCCTGAGGGCGTTGTTGAGTAGTTTTAGTTTGTTCAAATAATTTAATGAAAGTATTTTCAGTTGCATTTAGTGCTCATGGAAATTGCTGGAATTTTAGTGCTGAAGACTGAAGTTGTGAATTTGTTCTTGGAACAAGTACAGCATAGACAGCAGCAATGCACAGTTCCTCACCGATATACCTTAAACATGATGGGTTAGATGTATACAGGGCCGGTTCCAGGCACCAGCTGAGCAAGCAGGTGCTTGGGGCGACTAAGGGGAAGGGGCGGCACTTCGGGCTCTTCGGCAGCAATTCGGCGGCGGGTCCCTCGGTCCCTCTCAGAGGGAAGGACCTGCCGCCGAAGTGCCGCCGAAGAAGAAAGCGGCGCGGTGGAGCTACAGCCGATCGCGATCGCGACTTTTTTTTTTTTTTTTTTTCCACCGCTTGGGGCGGCAAAAACCCTGGAGCCGGCCCTGGATGTATAAAGGCACAAATGGCAGTTAGGACCCAATTCCCAATGGCTTTCAATGGGAGTTAGGAACCTGGCATTGGTGCATTTGAAAATCTTTCCTTTCCTGCTTAAGAACCCCACTAGATTCAAGAAGACAGACTAGTCTTTGGGCCCATTCTGTCTTTAGTCTCTTTTATGAGATGGTTAATAAAGGTTCCAATCTCTGCCAACTGGAGTGGCAGTTTTGTAGCATCGACTTCTAGGGAGACCACCAGGCCATTTCATTCTGCTGCTTGTAAAGCAAGCAAATCCTAACGTTTTTTAGTCACTGGGCAGGATTTGTACTTGTGGTCTAAACAGCTGTCATTTTTGAGTGTGTGGCTAGAACTAACTCTTGCCTGGTAGAGAACTTTTCTGACTGTACAAACAAGGGCTGAATGAAAAAAGCCAAAATATCACAGAATATTTTCAATACATGAGATAGGCCTAAAGAGCAACTTTTGTTTTTTAAAACATCATATTTTTGATCTATTAATTCAGCTCAAAACTTGCACAGGATAATACTAATAGGCAAATCCAAATTTAAAACATTTCCTGTCTGACCCCTTGCTTTGCTTTAAACACTTCCCATCTCCCAATAACATTTGTCTTAAATAGCTGGGAGGCAGTGTAGCCTAGTGGAGAAAGAGTGCTACAGTTCAGGACACCTGGGTTCTGTTCCTGGCTCTGCCCTTGGCCTGCTGGGTGACCTTGTGCAAGTCACTTTAGCCCTCTGTGCTTCTGTTTGCCCAACTGCAAAATGGGGAAAATGATACTTACCACCTTTGCAAAGCACTTTAAGATGTACTGAGGAAAAACGCTGTATAAGAACTAGATATTATTATTGCCAGTGTAGTCTATTGGTTTAAGTAGATGACTGGGTGTCAAGATTTCTGGGTTCTATTCCTAGCTCTACAACTGACTCACTACATGACTTTAGGCAAGGAATTAATCTTTGTGTTCCTTAATTTGCACATCTGTTAAATGGTTATATTTATGAGTACCATGGAAGTGTGTCCATAGGCGCCAACTTTCTCCGGTGCCGGTGGGTGCCTGCGCCCCCCCTTTCCCTGTCCCTGTCCCCACCCCCCTCCCACCCCCCCCCCCAAAGCCCCCCCCCTCCCCCCGCCCCCCCCTGCCCCTATTGGGTCCCTTCCCCAAATCCCCGCCCCGGCCCCGCCTCTTCCCCCAAAGCGCCGTGTTCCCCCTCTACCCCCCTCCCTCCCTGCCCTGTGAATGAGCTGTTTCGCAGCGCAAGCGCTGGGAGGGAGGGGTGAGAAGCAGGACGCGGCGGCACGCTCGCGGAGGAGGCGGAGGCGAAGGTGAGCTGGAGAAGGGGGCGGGGCCACAGGGAGCTGCCGGTGGGTGCTCAGCACCCACCAATTTTTTTCCATGGGTGCTCCAGCCCTGGAGAACCCACGGAGTTGGCACCTATGAGTGTGTCATGAGACTTCATTATAAAGCATTTTGAGAGCCTCAGATAAAAGATGCCACGAAAGCGCGCAGAATGATATGCTTTGTCCTTCCAACCTTAATTGTCTCAATTACAATTTTTCCATTAAAAAATAAATAAAAGAAATTCAGGCTGTGTACCTGGAGAGCTGACTCAGGGCAGGAGTCCGAAACGGAGCAGTACTTATGAACCAATGATCCATAGACTAGATAGGCAATTCTGTGCAGTAAAGTATCTGAGCGTGAATGAGCCTTTTTCAGGATGAGCTAGAGAGAAAATATTTGGACATTACCTCACTAGCAAGAAATAATTTAATTTTTATTTTGCATTTATGTACGTTTTATATAAATCCGCATGCAGGAAAAGGCAATGCATAGCAACTGATATTCCCTGAAAGGCTGGCTTCTTAGTTGATCAGTGGCTGTTACTGTATTTCACATAGTGACTACATGGTATCTCTGAGAAACTTAAGATTTGTTGTTTTAATAATATTCCAGATTTTGATTTGGGTATTAAGTTCTTGTTGTAATCCAAAGGGTGAAAAATCACCAAAGTAGGGAAGGTGAATTTTACTGAGAACTGAGTGGCGCATAGTATTCATAAAACTCTGAGTGTTCTTTGTTGCTTTATAATTGCCGGAACTGTAGGGACAAAAAACTAAGAGGGATACTAAATATATCCCAATAATTCAGACTGATGGGAATATTTAGCATGAAAGCACATGCTAACATCGGACTTGAATCCATCACTTTCTGCCCCATAGGTGAACATGCTAATAACTGGTCTGTGCTGACATTCATAGAGGGCCAAGTTTTGCTCATAGAGGCATGGCTCTCATTGAAATTAAGAGGAAATGACTTTATGCTTCCAAGGGCAGAATCTGACCCACAGAATATGTACAAAATTTTATAATGAGCCTGATTCTACTCTCTCTTACACAAGTTCATTTCACACTGGCATAATTCACTTGACTTCAGCAGAATTACTCTGATTTATACCAGTCCTGATAGGACAATCAGGCCCAATATATTCTGATAAAGCAAAACATGTATTTCTTACTATCTAGCTGTTGTGGGGTCCCTGAGTTACAGAGCCAATCTTGATCTGACTATAAAGTTAATTTGGACAAAAGACTTCCAGAAATCAGTTTGCAACATTAAAACTACATCACTTAGGAATATTCAGCTGTTTCATTCTGGCTTCATCTATGTCCCTTTGATTGCTTCCGCCCTTCCAACACTGTCAGGAAATAAAGTCTTTTCAATCTCACTACCAGATATAAAACTTTTGTATTTTCAAAGCCTTTGCAATCTTGCCAAAGGAGTAAATACAATGGATGCTAGAATTGGTGAAGAAAGATTAGAGAGTGTTAAAACATCCTACCACCGCTTCCTCTATCACATCACGGGTTGGTGTACTTAAATGCAGGCCCACAAGCACTGCCTGAGCTGCTTCCAGGTCACTGAGTTCTTTCCTTTCAATTGTACGCCTTAAGAATCTGATTGCACTATGAGTGGAAACGGCAGGAATTATATCCCAAATCAAGCGCCTGCAATAGGAAAGACAATGATCATTTTCCAGATCTGCATCTGAACACATTCATTTCATATCTTCAATCATAGTTTTAAGAATTAAAGTTACTATTACCTGTATACAGGCCGGCTAGAAAACTGTTTCCAAACTGACTCATAGATATCATCATTTGCTGCCCGGAAAAGCTGTACAAGCTGCAGGAATTTTGATGGAGCATCACTAGGAACCCGCTCATGTGTGTGCTCTACCAGATACCGCAGGTTTTCCACTATCTGCAAGAAAATTAAAATATACAGCAAGATCAAATATGTTCCCTTTCCCACATGCATCAGCACTGATTTACAGCGAAATATTTACTTCTGGCAGTTAATTTTACCTGACTCTCCAAGTTTTTGATTTTGAATAACTGGCCGGGAAGCTGAAGCAATTCACTGCCAAAATGGTACCGAAGTGATCCACGTTTCCGGAATTCTGTTGATGGGACTTCTGAGGAGTGTTTTTCCACATCACTCAGTACCAGCTTCTGCCTGCAATGGAGAAACCCAGTGAACTAACATCATGAGATCCAGCGTGCAAAATTAAGAGAAGTTCTGCTCTTAATATAATTATGTATTTTTACAAAAGTGTTTTGTTATCAAGATGCAAAGTTATTCACAAACATATGCACTGAAATCCAGAGAGAGGGCCTGATCCTGAGAGAACCTACAACTCCCAATACTCAGAACGTCTCAGGGTCAGATCTAGACTTTACTCCCCTTTAGGAGTAAAGAACTAAAATTCCAGGGGAAGGGAAACTGGGACAGGAGGAGTATGTGTGTTGGGGGGGGGGTTGGATGAGGGGGCTTGATAAATAAGATCACAGGAAATGTGTGTGTTATATGTACATTCATGTATTGAAGTTCAGACAAAAATAACGGACTTGATCCTTCATCAGAAATCATCACTGAATTTTGAGCCTGTCTAGAGGTTTCCTGAGAGTTCTTAAACACCTCTTCACTTTCTGGTCTCAAATGGAAGTGAAAAAAGTGAAATACTGCAAGAAATGTTACAGTCTCTTCTTAAATTATTACTGACCCAACTGTAAGCAGAATGTCCTGGGGTTTTCATAAGATGAAATGTTCTCATGAGATTTCCCCAACCTGATTTCGGAAGCGAAGAGATTCAGATACTTTGGAAAAACATCCAAACCTCTGGAAACTTTTCAAACTGAGCTAAACCATCACCCTTCATCATCAAGAAGTTTTTAATGAAAGGCTGTGTTTGTAAACATTTTTTATCCTTGCCATATCTGTGGCTAGAGGGATGTGTCCTATCCTGCCAATTACATTTAAATAGACCATTTAGGACAATATAATACTTTTAGGTATTTGTACTGAACATCTGAGAACATTCCAGTAGATATGATTGTACTGAATAGTCTCTAAAACCTCCATAGAAAATTGGCATGTTTACTTTGGAATCTCTACAGAGATCTTTTGAAACATTCCACACACTGTTTCCATAGGAATTTCATAAGATCTTTGCAAAAATATTATAGAAATACTCTACAGACAATCCAGTAGGAGCTGAATACAAGGGTCTATACAATCAATAGAGATTTTTCCTCTCCAGAAAACGTATACAATATTACTGGAAGGGGATTGGAGTCAGGAAGTATAATACCAGGTACACTCAGACAGGTTTCTTTCCCCCTTCCAGCCCATGCCAAATCTATTACATACCTTCAGCTCTGAAGTATTGGGAAGAGGTATATGTGCATATATGGGAAAATGAACATCAAGGCTTGGTCTACACTTAAAACTTATATCAGCATAGCTATGTCAGCTGGGACTGTGAAGGGGAAAAATAAATCTAGTGACGCGGCTATTCCAACAAATCCCCCAACGTAGATGCATCTTGCCAGCAGACACACTCTTCACTGGCATTAGCTAATGCTGTTCAGAGAGATGGCGTTACTATACTGGGAGAACACCTCCATCTATCAGCATACGGTGAATCTACATTGGGGACTAGGCTGGCATAGGCTTTGTAATGTAGCCATGACCTTAGGGTGGGGTTAAAAGGTAAAATAATAGTAAAACTCCCCCGATTTCAATGGGAGCAGTGTTAGGCCAGCGGTGAACAGTTTTGAAAATCTGACCCCAAGCGTATTAAATTTCTTGATATTTTACTTCTCACTTATATGAAAAATGTATTTAAAATAGCTTTAGTTATCTGACAAATGCTTCCTGGAGACCCAGACTGCATGCCCTCCTCTTACTACCCCTTATGTGGTCGGCCAATTCTGCTGGACAGTTCATGGAGTATAGGAGCAGGGAGCAGAGCAAAGCCACTGCTGAGTCTCTTTTCCACTCTTTTGGGGGCATCAAGCAGCCCTTGAGGAACAGGAAGGAAGCAGTCTGTGCTCTCCTGAAGACAGAGGGCCAGGTCCTAAGGGAGTGGAAATCAGTGTAGGTCCATTGGCTCCAAGAGGGGTCTGCTAACTTACAACAGCCTAGGATCTGGTACCTGGTCTGCAATTATGCCTGACCCTTTCCTGGGCTGCATCAAACACCGTTCATCATCACCACCCAAATGTGTATCCACATCTGATCCTTAGAGTGTAAAAGTTCTTTAAAATACCTTACCCTACCCCCGCTTGTTCACTGTTTAACCAAGTTATCATGCCCACTTATGCTCCTCTTGGCCAATTAATTGCTCTCCAGCCCTTTATTCATTTTTGTTGCAGTTCTCTGAACTCCTAATTTGTCTTAATCTTTCTGGTATTGCAGTGCCTAGACCTGTAGGCTATAGTGGAGGGGACAGTTCCTCACTGAATTTTATGGAGCAATGCCAGTTGACATAAGCTAGGATTTGGCTTGAGGTGAATATATCTAAGTGATAAAAAGAACTCCCTATCTTCCCTACTCTGTGACATGATTTCTCTGTATACAAAGCCCATAACTAGAGTTGGTCATAAAATAATTTGTTTCTGTGGAAAATTTTGTTTAAAATTAAAAAATATATTCATAAAGAAAATGTGAATGTTTTTGGATTTCAGCTGAAAAGTGGAAGGTTTAAATTTTTCAAGCAAATATTTTGAGGTCTTGGCCACAAAGTTTTTGACATAAATTCAAAATTTTCCACAGACAGCAAACAATTTTAGTGTAGAATTTCATTGGTTAAAACCCCAGGTACCCATCAAAAGCAGTTGTGATGGAAAATTTTCAACCAGCCATACCCATAACTGCATTGGCAACATGACAAATTTCAAACTGCTGTGAATATCCACATGGGTCTCTTTCAGTGACGTGGTTTTCCAGGGATCTTCCTTTTAGTGAGTAACTGTATATCAGAGTATTTTACTACAAATAAATTAGTTTGCATTTTTTCAGATCAAATTGCATTTATCTTGGCTTTTAAGGCATAAATCAAATATCCCAGAGAAATAAACTCACCAAATACTGCCAACTTTAGCTAGCAAAATTTGGATAGTTATGCACATGTTTCAGATTTATGACCAACAGTGAAGGTTGTTTTTTTATTATCTGGTTGAGGCTTTATATAATGTAATATTGCCAGTCAACATGTGGTAGGTACAGAGGTCTAAATTCAGTTAGGGAATTTGACTAGATTACTTAGATGCTGAATTAGTGAATTAAAGGGATATGTAATTTTGGATCAGCTATGCAGATGTACAGTACCTTGCTTCTACTACAGCATCCCCTCCAGTGACCTCATGGAATGGTGTGAACTGATGGATTTCTTGGACATCAGCTTGCACAATTAAAGCCTCCTCACGGGAAGATTTGATTTTGTAATTGTAAGTAGTGGTTGCCCGTGAATACTTGTTTTTCTTCAGAATGAAAAAGTGACAAATAGAAAGTTATTTAATTTAAATTCCGTGAATAGAATTCATAGATAGTAGGCTCAGAAAATACCACTTATACCATCCAGTGTGACCCATTTGTTTGCAAGGCTACTCTCTATACTATTCCCATTAATGTCTCATGTGAACTCTGCTTGCATATTTACATAATGGAGTTCAATCCCACTGCTCATACTGCTAAGAATTTTAAGCATAAACTTTTCTTTCCTTGAATTTAAGCAACTGATCATTCTTTTGAGAGGGTAGAATTTTGTTCTGAACAGAGACAGCATGAGACATATGTACCCCTATTCTGAGGGCATAATGTGATACAGAGGTTTTGCAATGGCCAATATACATGAATACCATGCAGAAAGCAAACATAGATAATTAGATATAACAAGCCTGATTTGCCTTCCACTTTAAGTGGTATAAATCAGGAGCCAATGTAGTTAAATGGGTGCAAAACCAATGCATGTGAGAGAAGAATCAGACCCACAATGTGTTTAAATATAAATCCATCTTACTTACTTCTCTGCAGGCTGGGCATTGGCAAGTATATGCAGCACCAGTAAACATCTGAGCTCTCTCATCACAGCTGCTTAGGTCCTTGGATTTTGTCACATAGATTTGATTTGCTTTCCTGTTTTCTTGAATCACATAGGTTGTATTGCAAACACCATCGATCCCAGCCTGCCAAAAATTAGAACCAATCAGCGCTGTCTCAGAGAATGCTTCTCTTGATGCAGAATTGCTGGATGCCTAACATGGATCTCTACTGTGCTCTGACCATATTTAAAAAACATGCATGTACTGTCAAAGGGCCAAAGCAGGGGTCCCATTGAAAGCACAGACAAAATCCCCGCTGACTTCAGTGGGATAAAATTTTGGCTCAGTGAGAGGTTTGTATCAATTTCCAATTAAGGACTATGGAATAGGAGATATAATTTGGAAAAATTAATAAATATGTGCTGAAATAATTTGATCAGTCAGAATTAAACTTCAAAAGCAAGAGATTTTTGAGTTGCGGCTGATACTTTGCCCTTAAAAATCCCATTATACCTAATCTCCAGCTCATACATTCCTCTATTAGAGGCTTCAGAATAGCAGATAATCTGACACACAATGTGAGCAGCAATAATTATACATTAGTTAAGAATAGTGGAGCTTTAACTGTGGATTTTCTTGTATTAGAAGGTTTAACTCAAATGTTTAATACTACTTTAAGATTTTATATGTATAAAGTGTATTGGTTCTCTTCAGTCAGTGAACAGGACTTCTACTAATGTTAAAGGGAGATAAGTGAATATATTTTTGGGGGAATGGTTCATTTCCTGACTTTTCATTGTTAAAGGTAGCATACAATTACTCCAAGGACTTAGTGGTACGGGACCTGATTTTTCAGACCTCAGTTAAAACTCCCATTAATTAAGTGATCTCTTGTAAGACATTTATCACCTGATTCTTCATTCCTTAAATATCCCAAATACTTATTGACCTCACTGGGAGTTTAGAAGGCACAGGATACATAGAGTCACGCTCTGCAGCTCAGGTTCACCTTCTGTGTTTTGGGACCTATCGTGATGCCTATCTTCCTTTCTAAAGTTCTTTGAGATCCTCAGGGAAAGATGCCAAGGTTTATTAATCAGTAAATGACTGAGTAAAATAATGAAAACTCAGAAAAGATTTCAGTAGCTAAACCCATATGTGTAGGTTGGCAACCGGACTACCACATGTAACCAATTCATTTAGAAATAATGAAGATGTGCAACTGGGCATTGCAAAATACTGCATATGCTACAGCTACAAGGTCTCAATATGGTGCTGCAGGTGGAACACATATTGTGAAAAATATGAGATCCTGAAGCTCATTTCTGAACCTTATTCTGATCATATCAAGTAAATGAAAGTGGTTTTGGGCTACATTTGCAATAAAAATATTTTGAAAGCACAATAATATCAATGAAATGAAAACCAACCTCATCAATGTAAATATATTTATGCAAAACTAAATCAATTTCAATCTGTGTGGTGAATTTCAACGTGGGGTTACTTAAAATGGTATTAAAACCCATAAAACAGTGGAAATTCCAACAGAACATCAAGTACAGCTGTAAATGCTATTATAATAACACAACATCATATGTACTATATTCCTTCTCAAATAGGAGCTAAAGGAGATTAAAGTATGCATGATTTCTTAGACACATCAAATTGCTATTATTTCTAGAGGAAATGTTAATAATATGCGGAGGGTTTAAGTTTATTTTAATGTACTATTCACATTTTTTGTAGACCAACATTATAGCTTTCAGAGTGGTTTCCTTTTTCCTTTTACCACCCAACAAGCCATGTTTTCTTAGTTTCTAATGTTGTTAATGCACTCCTGAAATCATTGGATCAATCAGATTAAAAATCTATACATTTCTCTGGACCATTAAGGCACAGATCTACCAGTGGCAGTACAGAATAGATGAACAACTTTCCTCTAAGTCTAGATGTTGCTTACTAGTAAATAGACACTTAACACTGAATTCAGATAAATGTGTTAGAAGAACCAGAAATGTATGCTTATTCAAATTATACCACAAACATAATTACCAAAGCAAAGTGCTCACCTCCTGCAAATTATATGTATTCTGTGACTTCTTCAGGGTTAATTCCAGCATATTCAGAAATCCTCGACAGAAATTAAGACCATCATCTGAGAGAGCATCTGGAGCCATAAGATTTCCAACACGGCCATTGCTGTATTCAAATTTGACGGGATTTCTGAGTTGTGCTGAAAGAGCCTGGGTCAGTTTAGATGACCGTGCAAATGGATCTCTAGGCCAGATACCATTGTATTCTGCTGCTTCAAGTGAATGAATCTGGGAGAGAAGGGGAAATAGATTTCCTATTAACATTTTTCCATGAACTTTTTTTCTTAGGATTTTATGAAGCAATACCTCAAGATAAAGCCATGACAGGGACTTGCAGATGTGAAAAGTGGCTGAGTGGGATGTTTCCACACATACCATCCTTTGTCTCAATTCACAGATCATCTGTCTGGCCCAAAGGTTGGCCTGTGTACAGAACTGAGCCAGAGAAGAGACACACTAAGCCCTATTCTACCACCAGAACTGTGGAAGACCTGCAGTAAATTGTGTGGAAAGTCAATGTTGCATGAAGCAGCATTAACTCAGGTGGCACTTGCTATGATCCCCCTAACTGAAGTCACAAAGCACAGCCAAGGGTAGAGCTAATAGTGACATGGCTGCTGAGCTATTCTTAGAGTCACAATTAGTGTGTGTGGGGGGGCAGAGGGGGCTAGAGAGCAGAGTGGAGGAATTGTCCCTCCCTATACGTTTTACCTGGGAACCTTGGGGTTGGAAGCTCAGATAGCTGCAGATCTCTCTTCTCCACCTCATATTGTAGCCCTGCTGCAGTGCAAAACTCCCCCACCCCCCAACACACTGCCCCATCAGTGTGCTTCTGCCATATATGTTCAGTTTCCAGGGCCCATTCAGTACTTGGGCTTTCAGTGGAGACTGCCAACATGGGTGAGAGCTATGCTGGTGGTTTTACAATGAAGATATTTGTCTACTGGGAAGGGGTCTGAGACCATTAATTTTGATTTAAGGTAGATATGAACCAGTGGCCTACAAGTGAAAGGTTAATCTCCTGCGCCGTTCACTTCTCCAAAACCAAATGCTTTAAATTTAGCAGCATAAAAATAAACGTCCCCTATAGCTGAAAGGGCATGCCATGTTACATAACCAAAGAGAGACATTTCCTATTGCCTTTCATTATATCCTATAAGAATACACAACAGCAGGCAGCTACTTCAGTTGGAAAGTTCCTGCTCTTTTCAGGCACTTATTAGGACACAGCCACTAGTCTTTCCTATCTATAATTTAAATTTGCCAAGTGAAATCTTTTAAAAAGATGATTTTTCTTCCACACACATACAAAACTAAATGGAATCAGTCCAGAGCAATAAAGGGGTATGTTTCAATACATTCATTGGAAGCACACATAGGCTTACATTAGAGGTCAAAATCATTTTCATATAATCAGAAATCTTTAGTAATTACTCAAAAATGTTAATGTCAGCATACAATAAAGGAATACAATCTCAGTGTAGCACAACATGGCATTTCCCCACTGAAGCTAAAGAAACAGCCAGAAAAAAATACGTATGCAAGATATTGAATGACATCCAGCTGCTATAATATGTTTATTTCTGTTTGTTTGCTAGTTGCAAAATCAGTTGATTAAATAATCTTAGGTTGTACAGTTTGGGAACAATTGAATTGATCCAGTAATGAATTATTATGCATTTGAAATTACATTCTGTTGTCTCCCTGACCACAAAGCAGAAGAAATCCTTCAAGCCCAAGGTTGGCTTGAGCTGAGAATTACCTGGCAAAGTGCAAATAGAATATAGGGAACTGCATAAAAAAATAACAGTGTCAGTTACATTCTGCCTGAGTAAGCAAAACATATGATGAAACTTAATTATTTCCCCAAAGCTTGAAAAAAAAAGTCAGGTAGGAAGATAATTTCAGCTTTCACATTGGATACATTTTCTTACCCTAATAAGACAAAGTTTTGGCCCAATACCACTGATTTCCACTTTACATTTTACTTTTATTCCAGCTCTTGCAAGTCCTCTGTCTGGAAGTCCACTGAGAAATACACTTTCATAATCATATGTGTAAACCTTGTTTTCTTTGAAATCAGGTTCTGTAAAGAAAAAATGCTCAGTAAACATTATAGAGAACCTATAGAATATATTTTAGTACACTTAGCTCCAAATAGGAAAGATCAATTTGTTAATTTTGATATTACTTCTGAAGCACATTAGGAGTTGTAAAACTAAATTAAACATTCCTACACCTTTCAGATTATATTTCAATTGCACCCATTAGAATGATATAATCTGATAGGAAAAATACTTACGATAATTAAGATGCTGACTCCCTGAAAGAGAAAAAATATATAGAAATTATGGCAAAGAATCATTTTACAATTTTTTTATAAAAAATTACTGTCCAAATTTTTATCTCAACTTGTGAAGTACATGCTGCATAATACTTTCCAGTTAATTCTGTTAATTTTTAAACACAGATTTTTATTCTAAAGTCAGAATATATCCAAACTTTCCTCCCCTAGACAATGGAGAATTTGGTATCAGGTTTTCTTGTCCATTTATGCAACTTTGAAGTTTATATTTATAAATGAACAACAATTAGTCTCTTAAGCCTTATTCAAAAAAGTCTCTGCTATAAACCTATCCAGACAAATAACGTACTTACTTACCCACAAGGGTTAAAGTCAGAGCTAGAATTAAGTCCCTCATTATGAAGGATAAGCTAAAGGTGAATGTGCCGGGTTCTCTTTTATAAAGGCATAGTGTATCACATGATCATCAAAGTGAAGTTCCAAAATAAATAACCATATTTCAGAATCAGTATTGATCAATCAAAAAACAAACATTTCTTGGGGTAGGAATGCTGTTAATGCAAATCTATTGGATAATTTAGACCAAATGTACCTTTTCTATGAAATATGGAATCTATTTCTGATATTTCTTGTTTTCGCCCTTTTTTTCCATTTCTCCACACACATTTATACAATAATTCAACAACTGGCAATACATATTTGGGCTTACTTTAAAAACAGTGGAGCCAGATTCACAGCTGATGTAACTCAGCCTAGCTCCATTGAATTCAGTGAAGTCATGATGATTTACACCTCCTGCATATCTAGACCACAAGCTCTTTGAGTATCAGGGGGTAGCCGTGTTAGTCTGTATCTACAAAAACAACAAGGAGTCTGGTGGCACCTTAAAGACTAACAGATTTATTTGGGCATAAGCTTTCGTGGGTAAAAACCTCACTTCTTATCCGAAGAAGTGAGGTTTTTACTCACGAAAGCTTAAGCTCTTTGAGACATACATCAGTTCTTCAAAATGACATAGTCTTAAAGGAGGATTTGTGCATGATTTAATCTTCCAGTGACTGAGATTTGTGCATGTTGCTTTAGGTCACAATCCTGCAGAGAAAACCAGGATTGGCAAATGCAGAGCCCCACTGAAGTCAGTGAGGCTCAATGACTGTGCATGGCTCCCTCTGCAGTTCTCTTTGCAGGAGTGGGGTCTTATTACAGACTTGTGTGAAGCTATCTGGGGAGAGCAACTCCCTCAGATTCTGTTGCTGGTTACGTGTGTATCAATCTCGAATAAATGGGCTGGCCATTTAGGTCAATGGCATTACTCTAGATTTACACCATAAAAATGAAAGGAAAATTCACCATTTTCATGGGAGCACAGAATCACAGGATTTAGATTCTGAGAGGTCGTCAAGTCCATACCCCTCTGCTGAGGCAGGACTGTGTTCACCTAGACAAGTGAACCTTTTTTGCTGTGATATCTTAAGAGGAGACTGTAAGAAGAGGCAGTGGGTAAAATTTTCAAAAACACCCGTGTGTGTTAGGTGCATTATATCCCATTGACTTTGAAAGGAATGGCCACTAAATCACTTAGGTGATTTTTGAAAATGTTACCCACTACCTCCAACTCATCTTATATAACTTTTTGATGCCCAACTTCTTGTAATAATGACAATTATTTTAATCTTCCTTTGGAAAAAGTTCACAATGTGTTGCAAATCCAATTTCTCCCAAAACTAAAGAGAACCTCAGTTATGCACATTTTGAATGAGCTTACGTCCATTTTGAATGTAACCTTGCCTTAAGGGCAAATGTTTTATGTAAATTACATATCAAGTAAAAGACATAATTTTCAAGTGGCTGGGTGCTAAGGTTGTTATGTGGAGAGGGGAGGAGAACTCAAAATGTACGTCTAGTGTTTTTCTTTGAGGCTGTGAAAGTTAAAAAAGTGCTTGCAAGATAGATGCACATGCAGGCAGCTAAAATACAGCAGCTAAAAAGAAGAAAAAGATTTTCTTAGGCTGCTACTTCATTAAGAATAAGAAGAATAAAAAATGGTGCTAGATTTTTAAGACTGATTCTGGGCCTAAAAATCTACTCTGTGGAGGCCCCATTGACTAGTTCCCTCTCTACCGTAATGAAACTGTACATTTACTTGAGTGTTGCTACCCGAATGAGGGAATGACACACTAGAGCTGTGCCAGTGCATCTGAGGAGGAGTCTTTCGGTGGAGTGCATGGAGCAGTCAACTATGTAGAATAACCTGACATAAATGTGCCGTGCACAATCATCAGTGGACAATCATTGTGCTTAGCCGTGGCAACACCAGTTACTCTGTAGATGGCATCGAGGTGCACAGATGGAGCAGCTACTGTACATCACTTTTGGAGTTGAACAGATAATCAATTAGGGAAACCAGTGGCAGAAAAAATAAGTAGGATGAGGGCAAACTCATCTGGGAACCCTTATTATTGATGCTGCTAAGTCCTAGAAATCCTAAGTTCACACCTGCCTTCCAGAAAACAAAATGTATACCCCCAAATATCCCCATTCCTGGAAATCATGCTGTTCTCTAGTAAAAAAAAACAATGAAAATATCTCCTTCTATTGAAACATGTTAAAATTTGCAAGATATATATATGAGTTGTTATGTCAGATCCATATTTAAGTCGTTGGTTCGGTGCCAGTTCGGATGGTAGAATACCACCTTACTGAATAATCAAGAGCAACTGGGTTTTCCTTAACATTTTCTCTTCAGAGTGTTAACTAGACCCTCATGTTTCCCATCTTGTAGCTATCTGATGAGATCACAGTGTGTTTTCAGGTGATAGGGGTTCAGTGGCATCCATTTGCAGGTAGCATGTATATTGCCATAAGTGGCTTTAATAAGAGATGGATTTCAATGGAGTTACACCACCGTAAAACTGGAGGGACACAGTGGCGAATCAGGCCCATAGTGTGCATCAGTAGCTTCCAACTTTGAAATTGGAACTGTCATTTGGTCTTATTAACTGCTATCAACTCAGCCTGCAATTTTCAGTGGGGCCTAAAGGAGTTCGATGCCCAACTTTCATTGACTTTCAATGGGAGATGGACACCTACTTCCTTTGAAAATGTCAGCCTAAAAGAATGTCTCATTCTGTCTTTCCAAGTATCACCGTCTTTCCCAACTCACATGTTCCGTCCACTTGGTGTTTTCCCATCAAAGATGTAATCTGCATAATGTGGGGAAAGAAATAGAAAGTTTGCACGTCTCTAAGTAAAATGCTACAAAAATATATTAAAGAGATGGTGGTGAATAACCCAAGAAGATCTTTGAGCCCTGAAGTTCTAATATCAAATGTGTAAATGCGTATTCTCTCATTAACTTTCTTTTAAGAAATCCTAATTTAATTTCAAACTGATTTAATGAGAAAAGTGTGAGAGACATGAAACATTCACTGACTATATAGTTTTCTTACCCCTTTGCCTTTGTTGACTAGGGCATTAAGTATACAATGGTGACTGTTGGAAGTATTTGATAAAATGCAAGTCTATTACTAATGAAGGAAATGCTTATTTTTTCTGCAGCCACATTATAAAAGTGGCTGTATGTATAGTGGCAACATAATATTTTCTGAGTGGTAACATCAGAATTCTGCTGCTTCTGTTACTGTTCTTTCATTCGACTGTAATCAATGATATAGCTCAATGATATAGCCTGACCACTGCAGTCATATTGTGCCATCATGATCAATTGGCCAGGCTTGCATAGTACAAAATGTTGAAACACTGTGAGTAAGACTATTAATGTGAGACTATTAACACAGTATTGGAACAATGTGTAAGTGGCACTCATACATTTTTATATGGTGCTATAAGATGTTTCTATTTTAACAATAGGTTTTATAGTTCAGATAGCCTTGTTCTAGCATTACTTTAGTGATGGGAGAACCTTAAAAGAATTAAAGTTTGTGATCAGCTTACATAAGCCCCCCAAATTTGGATGCTTAAAGGTATGTCTACACTGCAATCAGAAGATATGATTGCAGCACACATAGATATACCTGATATAGTCCTGCCCTCCGAGGGCCTGGCTACATACTCAAGTGGCCGCCACAAGTGCTGCTGCAGCTTCACTGCTATTGTTATTCAAGCTAGCTTTGATTTAGCTAGATCAAAGCTATCTCAGGTATGTCTCATTTGCTGAAATCACATCTCCTGATTGCAGAAGAGGGACATCCTGAGATAACTGAATCTCCGGAGTATCCCTGTGTTCCATTCATCACCGGTTCCTGCAAAATTTCCTCACTACCTCACCATAGCTGCTGAATCCCCGCTACCTGAGTTTGTTTTCCTGGGTGTCAGGAAGAAAAAGGTACAGAAATTTGTTACACCTTTCGTTATTTTCAAGGGGGAGCCTGGTGGACCATTCCCCATCCCACACAAATTCACTGGGTCCCTGAAAGACAGCCCTAGAGTTTTGCCACTGACTTTGAGGGGAGTAGCACTGGGCCCTAATCTAGCTTTTCCCCAAAACATCCAGGTCAGAAGGGATAAACAACCTACCACTTTAAGAAATCAGATGAAAAGGAAAATACAAGTAATGAGCGACACTGAAATACACCTAAAATAAATACAACTGAAAAGAACCCTACAGTAACCAGCTAGTGGGTGCATACTTTCATGGTAGAGGAAGGAATTTGCAGTCTGGTCACAGACTTCATTTGCAAATTACAAAGGTATTGCTAAAATACAAACAATAAGCAAAACATGATTTTTAAAATGATGGGAGCATCTTAAAAAAAGGCAAGTGAAAGAAGTTCACAATGCTACTATTCTATGCCATTTCCACAGCAACACATGTAATAAGGACTGTGATGTGCACTATTTCAATATGTGGAGGTGGGGAGAGTTCCAGAGAGCATGATGGCAGCGTATACTTACAAGGGCTGCAGCATGATAAGGTAGGATGCTTTGAATTTACAGGTACGTGCACCATAAATGAAATATGAATATAGGCTAATTAACCCAATTAGAACTATTGCTTCCACGCTGCCATTGTCTTTCATAACAGATTCTACTCAAGTAACAGACTCTTATTATCTGCTGTTGGACTGTTGCTGATAGCCCTGCACTCTCCTTGTTCTCTATTTATGTTGCTGAATTATGGTGCAGTGATGCCATTTTCATCCGGCTAATATATTGCCTAACAACAAAGAAGGGATTAACAAAACAGCTCCCAAGCAACCACTGTAGGTTAAAATGGATGCAATCGGGTGGCTAAGATTTTTGCCTTCGAATTGCACACAGCTTCTATAGTCGGAGAAAGGTTAAAATGACCAAACAAATCATATCTAACATTCAGTCACTGAGAAGTTTTAAAAAATATTCAATAGCCACTGTTTCGGTGTGGCTTACAAGACAATG